AAAGGATGTTTTATGCTGAAATCATTGTCATATCTGTAGATATTAAGGAACAGAGGAGAAACACGATTATTTGCAGATACTGTACAATACAATAATTACAATATTTTTACACATGTAATATGAGCTGTGTTAAGCAGCCAAGACGGGTACTTATAGTTTATTCTGTGTTCAGCAGGTGGAAGCACCACAGATTTCAGCCAAACTGATGTACTAAAAAAAATAAACATTGTACAAATATATAAAATGTCTTTCTACCACATCTGTAATATTCAAGGTGATAATCTCTCACAGTGCTGTTGATAACAGTCCACATCAAGTCCGTCAACTTCTCTCAGTGTGAAAACAGATACATGTATATAATAAATATGAGCACTGTTTACAACAGTGGTGTGTGGAGATTATAATCACATCTGCACTGGGTCTAATTCACTGTGAATTCTATAACAGGCTAAAAAAAAGAGGTTGTAATAGTAATGGCGGTTATAAAAGTCTGTATCACATGCAGCTTATTAATATTAACTTCTTAAAATTTCAATCAAATGACAAAACACAACTCTTTATATACAGTCTATGTGTATAACGTGTAACACCATTAACTTATGCCTAAAAGTTCTGCAATTGAGATGGTTTGATTTCATATAATCATGTATTTTCATCAGAAAAGTAACAAATAGACATCTAAAATCGATTAAAATCCAATAAAGCAATACTAGTGTTAATAATGGGTCTCCATAAATAATAATACAATCCTTCAATGACAAATGTAATTCCAATATGTCTCATTGACGTCTTCCCACAAAGCGCTGTTAACGACTTTTTTAAAAATGAGTTTGAGGCATGATGACATTGAGCGAAGCAGATCAAGTCTGAGCTGACGGAATTCTCAACTGTTACATCTCTCTACTTGTCAGGCAGCGGCAGAGAGCTGGTTTTAAAACGGCTCTTTATAAAGTAAAAACAACACAGCACAGCTGAGGGCATCAGACTAGAGATTCGGGTCAGACAGCTCCTCTCCTGAGTAGAAACTGTAAATGACTAAATTTTCTTTAGCCCTTGCACCAATCACTGACAGGAGCTGACTCTACTTCAAGTGCCCTTAGCAATTTTTCAGGTGACTGAACTCAAGTTCACAAGGATGCGCTGGTGGCTTGGCTTTAAGGTTTGCTCAGTTGCTTCTTCCCACTCATCCCAAGCCCTTAACCTTCAAGGCTATCATATCCTTCCCAGGCTGGTATTTATTTGGAGCACCATGTAGCTTTCATTTTCAGTTTTCTCAAATGCTTCCAAGGTAACTGCATCACATAATCTGCCCCTGTGAGCCAGTTGCGAAAAAATATACGATTTCAGACAAGTGCTTTAATAAAGATTTTAAATATTAAATACGATACAATAGTATAATAGAAACTAAATGACAACTAAAGAGAAGTGAAACTCAATATCAGCTGATAACGGTTTACAATTAAACATGATCCATGGATGTTGAATGGAGCAGCCTTAACAGAAGCAGGAATCACTCAGTGTGTTCTCGGATGCCTTTGACCTTTGTGGTTCCCTCTCATTTTATCTCTGCAACCTTCAGGCCTGCACAATGTGTCTTTCACACCACTCTGGGCTCTCCACACCTTATCAGTCAGAGCACTGAATAATGGTGCAAAAAAAAAAAAGCTCTCTGTTTGAGATTGATAAAGGGAAGGGAGATAGTTTTTCCCCATCAAACACTCGGGGCTTATCTGAGACGCTCCTCTCGAGAGGTGGTTGGATAGGAGCATGTCTGGCCTTAGAGCCATCCAGGCAGTTTGACTGTTCAGGAGAGAGGAGATACTTTCAGCACGGCTCGGCCCCTGCTAGAGAACAAGCTTTTTATTCATTAAACATCAGCGGTGTCACCTCAGATGCTGGCCTTGTTGCAACAGATGGACAGGCAATCGCGGTGTAACTGAAACAATAACCACTTTGCAACAGAGCGATCAAGTGGTGCTTGTCAGAAATTGGCCAGCTCAAATTGCCCTTAAAATGACATAGACGGCTCAGGATATGAAGCAAGAGTGATATTTATAAAAAAAGTGTGTTCATGCACAGCGTTGAAACAAAAATAGCAGATGTGCTGAACGCAGGTAAATAGACTCAGTTAAGGTTTGACTGATTTTAAGTGATCATTTCTGTCACAGCCTAATTTAAGAGAACTATTCCATTCAACGCTGTCAGTGAGGTGGTAAGTGAGCTGGGACCCATGATCAAAAACCTTATTTCTAGTCATTCCAACTGTTTTAAACCCTTTTGTCATCATCGCCCTCTGTGTCCCGTGATCCCCCCAAGGGGTCTCAACCCCTGCTTCATTGTATCTTGGCCTGCACAGTACATTTAGCTGCTTGCGAATAAATAAGCCTGGACTGCAAAGCTGGGTTTGTCTCAGATTGTGTGACTTCTTAATTTAGCAGACCCTACAGGCACTTTCAACTAACTCAGTCCAAGGCATCACCTTTGATGTATAGACTCTACCTTCAACAGTTTTCAATCTTCCTCTTTTCCAAATTATTTCCTCTGCAGATGGCATAGAGGGCTTCACCCAAAATACCCACTCCAGCACCAAGTATGGATTAATTCTTAGCTAAAAATAGTTCCCAGTTGCTATCGCCACCTCAGCTTAGATTCAGACAGAAGTCAGAAACTGTAGAGACAAATCCTAACTTATTGGGCCTCATGCAAAACCCAATTTGTTCTTGAGACGTTTGTACGAGGGATTAAGAGAACTTGTCTCATTCCTCAATATTCTTGTATTTTGAGTTTTTGAAGTACAAACAGAAATTGTGAGTCCATACCTGTTGTAGGAGTCACAGGAAATGAGCCTGTTGTTATTCATTCATTATTTGAACACTTCTGGAGTCTCAGGGGAAATAATAATAATCGCGACCTCTTCTTCAGACGTAATAAAACAGAAAAGACATAACATGCCTCCATACTGCTCATGTGGTGTCATCCATTTGTCTGCAACATTCATATTCAAGGTCATTTACACCAAGTTTTAAGCCTAAAACACACCAATATATGATACCTTTTAATTGGATTCTGGATGATGTTTACATTCAGGCTAACCAAAGCGATTATATTCAATTGTGTACTCATCCAAAAGAACCAAATTATATAGATTAAGAAACTGATAGTGCAGAACGTCCCAGGAGGGCGCCCCATCACAGTGTCCAGTCGCCACGCGACACAAGAGGTCGCTGTGTAAATTAGAACCTGGCTTCCCCTGGTTATAATTTCGAAAATAAAAATCCATCAATCCCCTCAATGAGATTCCTCGAAACGTAAAGTGTCCCTGTGCATAAAACATCAGCTAATCAATGCCAGAATATTGAGACTGCAGGGGGATAAGTGAATAAATCAAAGGGGAAGCAGTGTGGGATGACGGGGCGTGGAGGCTGCCCTGGGTTTGGCATTGGTCTCAGTTTGCATTGTGCGGCCCATGTTCAGAGCTGGTTGGTTGCTTGGTCGGCCTAATATGCAGCATATGATCTTTTCCAGCACATTACAGATATCACCCGCCTCACTCCCTTTTTCTAGTCCCACAAGTCTGAGATTGCTAAGACAGCTTCCGTTCTCCGTAGCATCCAGCTTCTGTTGTAATGCCTGGATCTGCTGAACAGTTTGGGATCACTCAGTGGTGGAACTCTCCACTTTGGTCTCCAGCTGCCCAATTTGGAATTTTGCGTTGCCTAATCTGTTAGACTTGGCTTTGGTGTCTTTGTTGTCTTAAAAATGATCATTTCTTATTAATAGCAGATAGGTATGAGTGGGTGAAATAGGCATCATATGTCATTCATGTGTAAAATATGGATTAAATTCTTTAAAATGTAAACGACAAGATAATCTTTGTTCAGTTCCGCTTCTTCAGTTCAGTTCCACATCTTGTCTGTAAGAATACATTCCTATTTCTGGCCCCCGACTTTATTAATTCGAGGCCACACAATATTTTTGTCCCCCAAATGTCACCAGAGGAGCTCCATAAAACACAAATACCTGTTACCATTTCAATAAAAAGAATAAGCATTTACTTTAAATATATGTGAATTTAATTCAAACCAGCCTTCTTAAGTGTAATATGTTACCATATTATCAATAGGAGAGGTGTAGTGGAATGTTTCTGCGAGTGCAGGCTAAATTGGAGAAAACGATTCCTTCAGATGGGTGATGGGCAGATGAGGATTGAGATGTCTTCAGTAACTCCTTTCCCATTATAAGCAGACTAAGTTGAACATTTTAGTAGCACATCAGGAACTTGTATTGCAATATAATAAAGTGATACCATAGGAGACATTTACAAGAAAAATAATAACATTTATTTGAAGAATATTTTAAAGCCACTTCATACTGTTAACAGTGAGAACGATATAAACTATATAATAAAATAGGAAAATGCACTTAATATACAGTTTGTAGGGGTTTAAGAGTCCCACAGAAAAAGATTTTAATTTTAAACCATCATTATTCAATTTCAAGAAAATTGATTCAGCAGTTTTTGTCTAATCTTGCTAACAGATCGCAAACAAATAGCAATGAAAACATAACCTCCTAAATATCTGAAGCCTTAGATATTTGAGCTATCCTGCATGGAAGAGCTTCCTTTTGTATTTCCATATCCTGCATCTCACCTGGACCCATCCATCTTGACACTCCCTGCTCTGCAGTGCAGCCTGAATGTAGTGAGAACAACATTACTTATGAGCCCAGAGATGCCTTGATTGTGAACAATCAATTTTGTTGTAATGCATATTCCTTAAGACAGCAATATGATCATAAGAACTTAAAGTCAACGTCCGGTCATAAATAATTTAATTCTTAGGGTTATTTGACAATAAAGACGACAGCACTAGGGTAGGTTTTTTTTATTTTTTATCTTAAAGGTACAGTGTGTAGAATTTAGTGACATCTAGTGTTGAAATTTCATGTTGCAGCTGAACACCCCATCACCTCACCCTCCTCCTCCAAGTCTTGTTGCATTTACTTTTGTTTGGCATAACCAAATGTAAAAAAAAAGGAAAAACATAATGTAGGAAGATACATTGTTCAAGAGTGAATCATAATTGTCTAACACCATGGCAGCTAAATAAAGCTACTGACAAATTTGAAGTAGTGTATGCTAAATAAGTCACAAATACAAATGCATAATTATGATTTGATGTCATGATAAAATGGTAAAATTGTCCCAGTTATTTCTGGAACCAGTTTAGAAAGAAGAATGATTTCACTTTCCAAAAGTTAGTGAAAGTGGCAATTTTCCTTTGTTAGATAACATCTCATGTGTCTCTTTGTAAAATGAGGGAGATGCAGAAATGTTGGGGGGGTTTTCAACCTAATTGAGACAGATGGAAAATGAGAACGGCTAGCTGGCCTCAGGCTGCGTCACTCTGGATCCCTCAATTGTCGGAACGGCTCTATTTCCACAGCCCCGACAACTCGTCCTGCTGTGTTTACTCGCTGTGGAAATGTATGAGTGAGAAAAGAAATAAAATCAATTTGTCGGAGATGAAGCATAATCCCATTCAAGTCAATTCGGAGCATCAGTCAGTATATGCATGTCGTTGTATGGCGCTGCTCTGTCTTATTCTCAGTTGAAACACTCTGTGGAGGTGAAGGGGCGGAGAGAGCACCTTCACCTGCACCACTGAGGATCAGTCAGCACAGGTGAGAGCTGTTAGCTGATTGATCCTCAGACTTTAAAAGGAGGGAACGCTCTGAGAACACTGGGAAAAGGACACTCAGGGGAACGCACTAGAGACACACTGGGAGAGAGACTTGGAAAAGCTGAAGGTCCAGCAGATAGTGCTGGACCATTTAAGTTACATGTTTTGTATGTTCTGTTGGGATGCAATAAAAGATGATGCTGAACAAGCAATGGTTGGACTGGTTTGTCTCTGGCTGTCCTGAGGGGAACCCGGTGGCGTGGTCGAATGCCACACTGGCGCCTGAACAGGGACCTCACACAGCCAGAGACACGGACTGGGTACAATCGCTGGGGAAGGAGACGGAGGAGATCCTGAGGCAGACGCAGGAGAACCTGAGGCAGACGGAGGAGATCCTGAGGCAGACGAAGAGGATGAGGCTTGGGCGTCTCACCTGTGGCGCCGAGCTGGAGGGGGCGGGGAGCGCTGGTCCCCGATCGGCGGTGAAGCCGATGGGTCCGGCTCCAGGGTCAGCGGGGAAGCTGACGCCTCCGGTTCCAGCGCTGAGGTCGGCGGGGAAGCCGAGATCTCCGGTTCCGGTGCCGCGGTCGGCGGGGAAGCCGACACCTCCCGGGGCGACTCCTCTTCCTGCTCCCGGGTCAGCGGRGAAGCTGACGCCTCCGGTCCCGGTGCCGAGGTCGGCGGGGAAGCCGACACCTCCGGGTCCTGCTCCTCTTTCTGCGCCCCGGTCAGCGGAGAAGCTGACGCCTCCGGTCCCGGTGCCGAGGTCGGCGGGGAAGCCGACACCTCCGGGTCCTGCTCCTCTTTCTGCGCCCCGGTCAGCGGAGAAGCTGACGCCTCCGGTCCCGGTGCCGAGGTCGGCGGGGTCTCCCGTGCGGCGGCGCCCACCTGCTCCGGGGTCCAAGGTGCCCGTGCGGCGGCGCCCACCTGCTCCGGGGTCCAAGGTGCCCGTGCGGCGGCGCCCACCTGCTCCGGGGTCCAAGGTGCCCGTGCGGCGGCGCCCACCTGCTCCGGGGTCCAAGGTGCCCGTGCGGCGGCGCCCACCTGCTCCGGGGTCCAAGGTGCCCGTGCGGCGGCGCCCGTCCTCCAGGCCGTCTGAGAGACGCCGCGTCCCGCGACGCCCACCTGCTCCACCCCCGGAGCGCCTTAGTCGATGGGCTGGGTTCCTCCCCTGGCCGGATGGAAGGAGGGGGGGGGGGAGTAGTTCAGGCCGGATAGCTCCCGGGCCTGAGATTGACGGTGGGGGTATGTGGAGGTGAAGGGGCGGAGAGAGCACCTTCACCTGCACCACAGAGGATCAGTCAGCACAGGTGAGAGCTGTTAGCTGATTGATCCTCAGACTTTAAAAGGAGGCAGCAGAGCTGCCTCGGAGGAACGCACAGGACGGGGAACGCTCTGAGAACACTGGGAAAAGGACACTCAGGGGAACGCACTAGAGACACACTGGGAGAGAGACTTGGAAAAGCTGAAGGTCCAGCAGAAAGTGCTGGACCATTTAAGTTACATGTTCTGTTGGGATGCAATAAAAGATTATGCTGAACAAGCAATGGTTGGACTGGTCTGTCTCTGGCTGTCGTGAGGGGAACCCCGTGGCGTGGTCGAACGCCACACACTCCTTTTCAACATATTTTCTCCGCATTTTTTAATTCATTTATAAAATGGACAAAGAGTTTGACAAACACGCAACCTGTGGCTTCTGCAAGAAGGCTCAATTCTCTGTATGTGCATGTCCGCCACGTAACCTGGTAGAGTAGGCGCCCCATATATGGCGTCTTGGGCCATGGACAGTTTAAACACTCTTGATTGAAAGTTATTAGTGATGTTGATATTTAAATAACACAACCTGATTTTCTCCAACTGTAGGTGGCAGTGAGACCTAACACAGTGGATAGCTACCATAATGTCATAATTTCATACTGGGGGAAAGTCTAAGCCGTGTTCCCTGACATTTATTCTGAGACGATAAAGTTCTGGATTTCATGCAAACATGACGTTCATCCCTCTTTAATTAACCTCGCTGAAAGACCTCCATAGTCTAAGGTGAATATTTGCCTTACTGCTTTAATTCAATGTGAAGTTATCACTGGGGGTGTTTTTTCTGGTAATGGCAGCTGCATGGGAGCGCAAAGGGAATCCTGCCAGATGACTCATTTTAGAGACCTGTTATTCTTATGTATTCAAACACTTGAATTGACTGAGAGATATCTTGAGAAGAGAAAATCTTGTGGAGTGACATGAGAATTTCAAAGCTGTCATATTGCCCTTTTACCTGTCACTAAAAGTTTGGCCACTTCCAGTAGAGTGATACTTTCACAAGGGTTTGCTATTCTTTTTATGCAATGCATGTACAAAAACATGCAGGTGACACACTGCTGCTTTTACCCATCAACCACTCTTTTAGTTATGGATTGCAAAAAAGCAGATAAAGGGATAGTTCATCAATATATGAAAAATCAAGGTAATTTACATTGTCTACATTTCTGCTGATACATTATATTGCCGAAAGTATTGGGTCACCTGCCTTGACTCGCATATGAACCTAAGTGACATCCCATTCTTAATCCATAGGGTTTAATATGACGTCGGTCCACCCTTTGCAGCTATAACAGCTTCAACTCTTCTGGGAAGTTTTTTACACGAGGTTTAGGAGTGTGTTTATGGGAATTTTTGACCATTCTTCCAGAAGCATATGTTGGACGAGAAGGCCTGGCTCTCAGTCTCCGGTCTAATTCATCCCAAATGTGTTCTATCGGGTTGAGATCAGGACTCTGTGCAGGCCAGTCAAGTTCATCCACACCAATCTCTCTCAGCCATGTCTTTATGGACCTTGCTTTGTGCACTGGTGCACAGTCATGTTGGCACAGGAAGGGGCCATCCCCAAACTGAACACTTGGATACTTTTGGCAATATAGTGCACTATATACACTATATTCACCCATTTGGATGGGTGAGTGAATACTTTTGGCAACTTTGTGGGAACCGTTTGGTCCAAAGACATGGATGAGAGAGTTCGGTGTGGATGAACTTGACTGGCCTGCACAGAGTCCTGGCCTCAACCCGATAGAACACCTTTGGGATGAATTAGAGCAGAGACTGAGAGCCAGGCCTTCTCGTCCAACATCAGTGTGTGACCTCACAAATACTCTTCTGGAAGAATGGTCAAAAATTCCCATAAACACACTGCTAAACCTTGTGGAAAGCCTTCTTAGAAGAGCTGAAGCTGTTATAGCTGCAAAGGGTGGACCAACGTCATATTAAACCCTAGGGATTAAGAATGGGATGTCACTTAAGTTCATATGTGAGTCAAGGCAGGTGACCCAATACTTTTGGCAATATAGTGTATCTTCCCACCAGGGGCATTTACGGACCCTCGGACACACCATAGTGTGGCTATGGCCGCTGGCTTAGCCACTTCCTGTGGACTTCTAGGCTTAAAACACAGTATAAATGATCTTGTTTCAAGACGTATATGAATGACGGGGCTTGCAGACACGTTATTTTTTTTCTGTTGTTTTATTATTGTGCCTGAAAAAGGACTCACCATTGACTTCAATTGTAAAGTTTACCCCTGAAACCCCAGAAGTGTTTTGTGGACTCAAACACTTCACCCGCCCCTCCATCAGCACAGTGGTGAGGAGATAGTGAGTGAATTTGAATTTTTCAGTGAACAAAAGGTTTGCAACTGAAAGTGTCCTTCAATGAGGAATGCAGGGTACAATAACTAAATCCTGTGGTGGAAATTTATCTCGGGATGTGAAATAAAGAGTTTCTCAGACCGGAGTTGTCTTTAGGTCATTTAACAGAAAGCTCTGCAGAGGGTTGCACAGTCAGCATGAATGTTCAAAGTGGAACAACCCTGAATTCGGAAAGAAGAAGGTTTTATACAGTCAGGTGAACAGGAAACATAAGAGACAACTGTTTCTGAGTAATAGCATGACAACTGAAGCCACCTGTAGTCTGGTTAACACAGGAAGCTGTCTGCTCTTGCTTCTGCATGAAAGAAGACGTTTGCTACTGCAAAGATCAGGGTCAACAAGAGGATCATCATCAAGAAAGGACTTGAACTCTGAGGTTACATCTGCCAAGTGCATAGCAACCGTCAGGGCATTTGATAATTAAAGGTAAAAAAGTAAAAGGTGTCTGTCTAGTTTCGACTCGTCCGCCTGCACGTACGCCAGACAGTTCCTCTCATGCAAGCACAATTGTGTTTCTATGTGAGTTATTGATGAACACACAGCACACGAGCATTGATCAGACATAGGAAAGAGTTCAAGCAAAGCTCATATGCAAGTTTTCCATTACAATCCAAAATCAACAAAGAACTCAAAAAATGCTCTAAGGCAAAAACAGGGCAGACTGTTTTGAATTGAGACTACAAAATAAAACAGGAAACAGGTGAACACTGAGAAGGACACTGAGATGGACACAGAGTGGGACACAGGAGAGCAAAACGTAAAACATAATACCAACAATAAGACAATATAGTCCATAATAGAAATGAAAACTCTCTTTTATAAAAGAAGACTAAAAACACAGGAGACGTGACAGAACTATCCCTTTAAAGCCCCTACATAGAACTTTTAATTTTCATTGATTTAGGCACCACTGTGGACAGAAGTAGTAGTGTCTTCACTGTCTCCTGTCCTTCAAGCACTGCCTGAGCCTTAGCTTGTGGGGGAATATAACTGCCAGTATTGCTCTTTTTTCAAATGTATTCTCATCACCCCTGCCCTCACATGGCCTTTATCTCTGTATCAGGGTTTTAAGAGAATGGGGGTTTGGAAGAAAGTATGTCCATCTTCAAAACACAAAACACATGTGAAGTGCACATCTTGGAATACATTATACGTAAAATGTCTGAAAATCGCATGAGCCACTGGGATTTTTTATGTTTTTTAATTTCACCATATCTGACTGAGACACAGACATTCACGGATGTCACAGCCGCTGATCTCCCTGGCGACAACATTCATAGCCTCCCTTTTTCTTTAGCAGGTTGTCTTAAAAGTAAGGACTGAGGGAGGGACATATTTGGAAACACGAAATGTGATTTAAATGCAATACTATGTGTGAAATACAAAAAAAAATTAGGGGAACACTTAAATCACACATCACTCGTTTTATTTCTTGAGATTTCAAAATTAAGAGTAGATGGAATCAAATTAAAACAAAATAAAGGTTTACTCATCAATTCATTCAGTCACATCAGGTGAAGCCGGAGCACTTCCAGTCTTATAGACTGAAATCATCCCTTAACCATCTCTCCTCTTCTCTGTGTTTGACTGACAGCTTTAGAGCAACTCGAAATAAGTTCACAGCTTGTTAGGACACCTCTGTCTCGATCTTTATTCCAGTCCAGTCTGAAAAAAAGAATAAACATATTAATAATAAAACAGACTGCAGCATGGATACTAACAGCAGACATTCTGTTTGCATTGTTAATGTGGCCAGAAAACACTCTATACTTTTTAAATAGCTGTGATATGGATGATAACCCTGATTTATTTAGTAAGGAAGAGGCAAATGCCATTATGAAAGAGAGTTGTAAGTGTAAAATCACCTTTGTAGGTCAAGCAGGACTTGGGGAGTTACCTGAGCCCTGAGAGCAGCTGACTCAGTATGAACTATCTTGAGTCTGTGTTAGTAGGGCACGTCTTGTGTTTCCTCTTTTAACCCCTCACAACTTTACCACCTGTCCAAGTAGGCAACACAACTACAGGCTAGACTACAGGAGACACTGAATTGAAATCAGCAAACAGAAAGCCAGTTTTTATTAATATTTTTATATTAAGAGATGTCACATAGTTATCACCAGCTTTGCCGTTCTCTCAATTCAAAACAGGTTTTTAGACTTTTTTTACTCCAGTGGTTTGTTTTATATGACTGAAAGCTTTACTACTCTGTTTCAGTCTCAAAGCTGTCATCGGCCTTTGGTGCAGCAGTGGCTGTTTTCAGAGAAAAAGCTGTAAAGTTATTTTTCTGTTTTGGGAATAAACTCAGCAATTATATCTGCAATCTGAGATTATTCTGATTATTGTCTTTATTGCAATGGTGGCATTGAATTTTGAGGGTGGCACCAGAGGAAAGCTCATGAAGTATCCACAATTTAAATGATTCATATGCTGCGAATCTTTAATGTGATCCCACTTGGCTTTTATTAGGCCCGAGCACAACAGACTTATTGTTTTTGCTTCGTTTATTCTTCTTCTGACAAAGGAAGTGCCTCTTTGGGGGCCTAAACATACTCAAAAACTCACCAAAGTTAAATATTTTAATGTGGTTGGTAACCTGCGTCCAAAAACGGCTCAATAGCACCCCCCTACAAATATTTTCAATGAGGGTATTCCTTTCATTTACTTTGGCCTGGAGTAATGAAAATTGGCACACGTTTAACGCCCAGATGCACAAACATCCTTTCGACACTCTTGGCCGAACCCAACAGAAAGTCAGCCGTTTTAGATTTTTAATTCAATTTGGCATTAATTTTGGCGTTTACACACTTACTACAAAATCGTACTTCTCCGACAGATTTCATGCGATCAACCTAACATTTGGTTTATGTCATGTTAGAGACTTGTCCTGTCCTATATAGATCCATATGATAATATTTGATTATAGTGCCCCTTACCGGTAACAGGATATATCAGGTTTTACATGTCAGTGTCCTGCAGCTAGCCTGTTCACCCGATTCATGTGAAATTTGGTCAGGAGGGCCTGAAGGAGTTGATGAAGCCATAGAATCAAACTTGTGAGTTTTCACCAAGGGGCGTGTCCTTGGCTTGGCGGCGAATCTCGATGCCTCGCCAAGAACCTTCAAGCAGCTGTTACTTCCATGTTTTTGCTCCAATTACTGTCAAACTTTATTTGTGTGATAAGGAACCCACCTTGAAGAGTTCTATATGTCAATATACTTTAATAGTCACAGCGCCCCCCTAGCTGTGGCAGGAAGTACCATGTTTTATACTTTGACATTCTACGCCTACATTTTTCATTTGATCCACCTCAAAATTGGTCAGGGAAATCTTGAGACGCTGGTGACACCATGTGACATATAAGCCTTTACATTGACGGTATGCATCTTGATAGAATGCCAACAAACAGGAAGGGGCTGTAATGTCACTCCACATGCTCCAATCTGCCTCAAAATGGACACGTACAGTGAGAGTCACTATGTGAAAAACAAGGACAATATTTGGCGGCTGAGGCAGTAGCATCATTTGAATGACCTGAATTCTTCCAGACCTCGTAGCTGAATCATGAGACGTGATCAGCGAGCATTCTCCGGCGCTGCCTGATGGACGCGGTTGCACGCTCTGAAATCCATCCAGTTGCGTCCCCAGCGAATGCCTCTTCCTGGGGGCGACCGGGCGAATGGGGCTGCGGCCACGTAACCTCACAGTGGTTGCCAGGCTCGGGACTGCATCATACTACATGCTTAAAAGTCTAGATCTTCTTGAGATACATCTATGTATAGGCTACAACTATGTTGCATTCTCCACTACTGTACCTCAGTAATGCTTTGTAAGTATTATATTAGTTGTCTACTCCATTAAATTTCTGAAATATATAATATAATACATTTATATAGATAAATAGATAGATAGATAGATAGATAGATAGATAGATGATGAAATTAAAAGGCAGCAATCAGATTAATCATTATTAAAGTATAAAATGACAATACATTTTCACCTAAGAACTTAGTAACTAATTGAGGAAATAATAAATAGATGAATCCATGATACAAATAATAATGAGTTCTACCAAATAGTTGACGCCAACTTTTATAATAATAATAATGCCTTGAATTTATAAATAGACAAATGAGAAGATTAAAATGCTTTTTACCAATTAATGCTTAAGTAATAACATTGCAATCAGCAGTATATGCCACGCCCTTCAGCACATATGATTGGTTAATGTCCCGGCCAAGCGTGGCTCTCATTGGCCACGTTTTGTCAACATGCAGCGACACATATAGCCAAGTAAGGAAATACAGGAAGTTTACAATTGTAGCACAAAACACGTTTTCTTTCCCCTAATCACGACTCCAGTTACTTTTTTAAATGAAAGATAATTAACTTGTTCTCGTGCAGGAAACGCCCATCCTGAATTCAAGCACCTAAACTCTCTCGGGGACTTTGGTTTTTCTCAGTCACGCCGGCTGACGTCTTATTTTGAAAATCACGTGCGAACCCAGTCTCTTCCTGGTCGGTGTGGACGGAGGGAGCCGCTGGGTGAGGTCTGTCGTTGGAGCCGAGGAAATAATGAAGGCAACCCGGGAAGTTGAGAGCGAGGAGCCGCGGGATTCGTGGCGTTAGTGCGTGTCTAAAAAAACCTCTTTGAATCCGAACACAGCTTTACGTGGACCTGCTTTCACACCCCGACTTGTCCACTAGCTGCCCCGTGTATTGCTAGCTGCTAACGCTAAATACCGAAGCACCTGTCTCCAGCCTCTTTGTTTGAGACACAGGTCCTCTTGTCCTCTTCTTTGTCGGTCCTCTGTATAAACACCAGCTCTTCTTCTCTGTCCCCTCTGTTTCCGCTGTCCTATCTGCATCGCCGGATCCGGGACAAAGAAGATGGACTGATTCCTGCCTCCGTCCGGAAATGCCTGACACGAACTGTGTCTGCGTCCCGTTGGATATTATTAATAAACCCGGATACCCGCGACAGTAAGGCATGGCGTCCTCTAAAGCTAAGGTGGGAGTCAACAGTGAGACCACCCCCGTGAAAGAGGGCAAGAGCAGCAGCATCGGTGGACCCGGAGAACCGGTTCCCGGTCACCGGATATACTGCCTGGATGACCTGGAGACCGTCGCCACCGTCGGTGAGTTCCAACTTGTCACACGTGCAAAAGTTAGAAGGTTGCAAGATCCGGGATTGGCACAGAAGGGAACCTGGGAATGTGGCACTGACAGGACAAATAAAGCATCGAAATAGAATATATATATATATATATATTGAATCAAGATCATTGTGTGAAAAGTCCTAGTCTTGATGACTACTCAAAGTGCTTTTATCTTAAACTTAAACTTACTTTATTGATATTCTTTTTACACTCATGTTTTTCATTTAATACATGCATTAACCCACAATCCCACACACACACAGGGCTCAAAGACATGATGACATATGAGACATATTTTGGAGAGAGATGGTAGAGTGATGGGCAGCCCCCAGAAAAGCGCCCTATGAGCAATTGGGGGGTATGGTGCCTTGCTCAAGGGCACCTCAGCAGTGCCCAGGAGGTGAACTGGCACCTCTCCAGCTACCAGTCCACCTTCCATGCTTATGGTCCATGCTGGACTTGAACCGGCCTTCCGGTTCCCAAGCCAAATCCTTATGGACTGAGCTACTGCTGCCACTCACCCATACATTAGCATCTATTAGAAGCATCTATTTTTGTTCTATGGGGCACATCAGGGTTCAACATCTTGCTCAAAGACACTTTGGCCATGCACATGGGAAGACTGGGGATTGAACTTCTGACCTTATGGTTGGAGGGCGACCGCTCTGCCCCTCAGCCGTAGAGTAATGTAGTATAATCATCATAATGTTTTCACTAGTTCGTTTCATCTCAATTGTATGACTTGTAGTTTTCTTTACCCCAGATAAGGTCCTTTATATTCAAATATACTATAATATAATACTTAATATTCACATCGAGGGGACCCTCTTTACGGAGGCCGCCATGTTCTTTACATTAGTCCAGACTGGACAAACTAAAAACCTTTTAAGTTTTTCTGACAATTAAAGGCTACCACAGTTTCTTTTTCATGTTCAGCTGCAACATGCAATTTCAACACTAGATATCGCAAAATTCTACACACTGTACCTTTAACCATGGATTTGGAGTATTGTTACAGCCCTGTAATAAACAGCATATGCCAATAAAAAAATAGCAGACATCATTAAATTAATATATGAGGTGGTAACACTTTGCACAGAGACATTGACAAGCAGAGCAGCTGCCGACCTGAACACACGAATGACAAGACAACAGACAACACAAATACCATTTTAGTGTTCACAGTTTTGATTTCTTTATAAACCAGGCTCTTAATATGGAGGAGAAGGAATGGAAGTTAGCACAGTTTCGAATGTGTCGGCTGAGTTGTTCCAATCCTGGCAGGCTCTGACAGACAAAGCAGATTGGCCAAAACCACATTGTCTTCTAAGTGTAAGACAATAACCTCTAGTTGTTGCTCTATTAGTTCTTCTTGTTTTTAATGTTGTATAGGTATTGAGAAGTGGAGGAGACATAATGTTTAAAAACAAGATACAATCCACTGAATTCCATCATGTTTTCCCAGTTAAATAAATTGTTTGAGAATATTGCAGTGATGACATCCTTGAGGTTTCATGTCTAGAAGGGGGAAGATACACAAACACACCTGTCTTAGTCAGACTGGCCATCTGCCAGGAGGAGCTTAGCACATTGGTGGCCCCGATTGACTCCCCAAAAATCCATAAAGTTTTTACTGTCCTCAGGAGGCAGAACTAACTGTAATTGTGGGCTTATATGTGTTTCTATCATTCGGGGAGTTCATGAGAGCCTGCCTGGGCTCACTGACCAATAACACATCCACCCTCACCAACCCAAATTCAGTGAAACACAATGACTCATCAGTACAGTTGAAAGTCATATTCCATAAACCAGAGGCGTGGACCCCAGCCTGTTAGTGAGATAATTTTCAAAGAACTTTTAGTCCTTGTTCAAGCACTGACTTGCCTTTAATGGAGTTACTGCTTGACTTATCCACATAAGAAAAGTTTGAGTCACACCTACATCATTGGATTACACAAGCATACAAAGTGGTGAGGCAGAAGACGATGGCCTTAGTTTTCCTGTACAAAAACTATGAGCATGTTCATGTTATTTATTTTAAATTGATTTAAACAGGATTATGCAAACAACAATGTCCTACAGTTTGGAGCTATTGGAGGTGTGTTTATCCTAGCCTAGTGAGTTTAACTAGGCTGGGATAGTTTTGTTAGTGTAGTGAAATATATGTCTGTCTACTGATTAAAATAATCCATAATATTAGCATACTATGTAAGGTTGAGTTCGCTCTGGGGACAAAAAAAGTCACGACCGTTCATGATGTTGGCGCTGTTATTGAGTAGAAAACACAAAAATCTTGAATTTTAAATCTAGTGACAGCAATAAACCAAACGCTAATCAGATATTACTATGAGTTCCTGTCTTTTTGCAGTCATCAATCGTGAAAAACAGAATTGTTACCTAAAATATTCCCAAGGAATTACAATGTGTACTACGTTGTAATAAAAGATGTTTCCAATGACAGAGCCTTGGAATTGTTAAAAACAAAAAAACACACAGAAAAATGAAATGCTCTCAATGACGCTTCAAGGTGTGCTATTCAGACAAATATATTGCCTTAACTATAAGGATTAAATGTTTGAATCAACACTTTCTCATATGGGGCAGGAAGTGTAGCCTTATATGGTATTATGCAGATTTGCTGTCTTCATGCATTTGCTTAAATATGTAGGTGGCATTCATAATGTTTACATAATTCTGAAGCCAGACACATTTGTTGAATATGACAAAAAATAGAAAAATCTTCTTGCCTGATTATTATTATTATTATTTTTGAAGTCAGCTCTAAATTTAGAAAGAATTTAAGAAAAAAAGTCATTTGTTTTATAAAAGCCCAACTGAGAGATTAAGAGGAAGAGGACTGGCTTCAACATGTTTTCTCTTTTATTCCAAAGTGATGTTGTGCTGCTGTGCCATGTGAGATCAGCTGCATGTTCTGCCGTTAACAGTCGTCTTTGCAGGCTGTGCCCATAGACAGTGTGTACTGTGCATGATAACAGACCCATTTTAGTGAATAAATTGATTAGTTGTTGCAGCCCTAGTGTGATATATAAACCTTATCTTATGATCTTCTCAGAATTATTTTGTCTGGAAACCTTTTTAACTCATCATTTTGATATTCCCCCAAATATGGTTTCAGCAGCAATGACTCTCGACTAAAGTGCTATATAGAAATGAGCTGAGTGAATCTGATGTGCATGCAGCTCTACAAGGAAGCTGAAACACCAGAGACAAGCAGCCTGGTTATTCATTGATGAGCACTTGCTGGCCAGTCAATTCTGAACCAAATGGTGTCGAGGCTTCGACCATTGCCATGATAATGAAAGTCCAAATCAGTGATCAAATGCTTATTTAATGTCTTACCACAATGATCCAATAGCCCAGCACATAAGAAATAGTAATCCAGTGTTATATAGTAAACACAGAGAAACAAGACAAGAAAACTGTTAATGCTGAGTCAGTAAGGACATTTTTAATCTTAATGATAGTGACGCTGACATTGGTGAGACCCAGAGCCCCAGATATGTCAAAGGAACATATATAATGAAAGTTCACTGAGTTCTGCAAGTCATCTGAAAACTGTGTTGCAGCTCAACGGCTCCTGATGTTAGTGCTACCTAACAAAACAAAAGTTAGTACCAAAATACGTAAAATACTTATTTAAACAAAAGTGTGATTTAACTCTCCCCACTTTTAATTACAACCATTTTAGTTTTTTGAATTAAAAAGCAAAATAACGTATCTGCAGGAACAGCACAGATCTTAAGTTACCTTAGGATAAATTATACATGCTTTTAGTCTTTTACATTAGCAGAGCAGTGCTGGGTTTTTGACAGTTTAATTGTGGCACATACTGATCTTAGAAGCCAAATGGTGATAGAAATGATAGCAAGCACTAGAGTGATGACAGACCTTTTTCATTAACAGTAATAGTTGTATTTTGCAGCCAGCTCATGCTGTGTACTTTATGGAGGACATCGCAGTAGTCTGCATTAGGTTGCATGCAGAGCAACAAAGCCTTAACTTTATTTCTGTCAGGGAGGTGTGCAGCAGGGAACAACATTTATCCTGTGCCGTTTGGGAGAAAGCTGCAAGCTTATGAGCCCCATATAGAAATCCAATTTGCCCAGCCATTTTGACTGATGAGAGGGATTTGCTGCCGAAAACAAATCAGCGAAATCTCTTTTATCTGTCTGCTGTTGTTTGTCATTGAAATCATGAGGCAAATCTCGCACGATTTGATTTGCTGCCGTCACATGCCTATATGATCCGCAGAATATCAGTCAAAGTCAACTCCAACTCGAGTTTCGTTACAGCAAATACATTTTTCAACCACATCACAATCCGAAAAAACCTAAAACATTGGGGTTTGGTGATGTGGCTTGTGTGAATCTGTTACTCAAAGTTGCATCCTGCCAGTACAGCAGGGATTTTCAGAGTTGTGTGCTGCTTGGTTGTATATTACTTACTGAAATCAGTTGTCTCTTTTTGATATAGTCTTAGTTCCAGTCGCTTTTGACCGTGCATGGTTTCTGATAACAACTTTGAGTCAGGGAATAAAAATCAAGCAGCCCTGTGTTACATGATTAAATGAAAAAGAAAAAATCTTATTGTTTTTTTTCTCTTACCCTTTATGTCTTCAAATATGAATACAATTTAGTTCCCGTATCGTGACAGGTTTACCGAACAAAATGAAGTAGTATGCATAGTGTTTAAAATTAGCTTAGCAGAACTTTCTTGCCTGCTTCTCTACTTTGCTGCAAGCTCCAGGTTCCAGGCTACTGTGGCTGCTACTAGCTAGGGATGTCTCGATGTGAATTTTTTTGTGCCACGATTATTGTCAGAGGAAATATCACGGTTCCACCATTTTCACAATTATCGATACTAACAAAGGAAAAAGACACACAACAAGTAATAGCTGATAATGTAGCTGATGAACGAAAATATTTATTAGTTGGTTTTTTGGTGTAACATTTGGCTATTTAAAAGTAATTTATGTAAGCTGTTTTATTTAGTTGCCTTAGGAAGGTTGGTCCATGAATGTGTGTTTCCTGTCATCATAAGCTGTTTATCTGTATTGGACTTTTATTGTGAAAGGTCACCAAAGTTTTTTTTTGGGAGGCAGGACATCATAGTTAGATATCGTAATTTTTACGTTCTGGAAACGCAATTATCGTTAAAATCAGTTAATCCCGACATCCCTACTATTAGCATGACACACTGAAGTCTCTTTGTGGACTGTTGGCCACAATTTCTGTGGTTCCAACATGAGTCTGACAGTTTGATGATAAGACAATGCAAAGTCAATGGAGTACTTTTTTGTGTTCAACATTCCAAGGAAGTTGCACTGTAACATTAACTTAAATTGTTATCACCAAACTGTAGGATGGAAGGGAAAATTGTTAGTGACTGAGCCAATGAAAGTTTATATTCCATTGCTGTTAATTTTCTCAGAGGCCCTAGATTTTTAGAAAAAATAAAATACTGAGGGTATTATAAACCCATTTTGCAACCATTTGGTATCAATCATAATTTTTTCTTCAAACATGATCTTTTAACCATTATGTGCCAGCATTTGAGATCTGTATCACAAATGAATTTGAATTTATTAATTCATGTATAATTTATTTATTAAACAAGGTGTGGTAGGATTCCTCTCATGGACACGAGGAAAAAAAAAAATTCTCAGCAACTTCGACGAAAAGGGTCTTGCTTAAGTGGTGTACTGCTCTTTGCGTTGCCATGGAAACTCCAATCGGCCCCGAGACAAAGGTTCATTGTAGGTAAAGCGGAGGAACGAGACAGTCAGCATTTTTTCAGGAAGTTGCAGCAGTTCCAAGTCTGACTCACAGTGGCTGTTATATCACACATTGTCATCAGCCATTTATTGTCACATCTGTGGCATAGGAATGAAATGCCAAAACTTTCTCCTCATTCCTATAAGATTTCCATAAATGCTGGCTCTCGTCTGTACAGCCAGACATTACTATTATCAGCCCACTACTTTTATTTCAAGTCACGGCACTGTCTCTTGTTATAAGCCTATAACTATGACACTTTAATTGGGTGAAGGATATTAGTCATCGTATATCTGGACCTTAAAGGTATAGTTCACCTCCCCCTAGTTCTCCTGTGTGCTGTGGGTTCCTGTCACGGTGGTTAATGCACCTCCCTCCTTCCCTTCCTCAGGCACAGGAACTTTTGGCCGAGTCTTCCTGGTCAAGGACAAGAAGAGCAGGGCCTTCTATGCCCTGAAGCAGATGAAGATCCCTGACGTGATCCGACTGAAGCAGGAGCAGCATGTCCACAATGAGAAGGAGGTGCTGTCAGAGGTCAACTACCCTTTCCTCATCCGACTGTGAGTCCACAGGCAGTCTTACTCACCAAATCCCTGAAGCCTGGGGTATGATCCATTGGGTGTACCTTTCCAAGGAAAAAGGTCAAAGTTCATTGTCTGTTAGGAATCCCAACACATTGATACCAATGATAAACACAGATCCACAATCACCTTATAGTCATCCCATAACTCTAGTTTTTTACCGTTGTGCCTTTTCTGGGGCATAAAGAATTATCACAAAGGAAAATTGTTCTACACTGTATACACATACATGTAAAAAGATCTTTCTATTAATTCCAGAAATCAGTGTGCATGTGGAATGCAGCAAGTGAACTGTTCATCTTTTTCATATCAGTGCTTTTTCCATTAAATGTGTATTGTTAAGGAAGGAAATGCAGTTTTAAATTTGGTGCAAGTTGGAGACGCATTTACAACAATGGCAATGACAACTAATTCTCTAGTACTGGGTTCCTACTTCGAATAAACAGTAGCTTTGGTGCGGCTTCAGTGTGCCATCCAATCATTTTGACAAATAAAACGATTCAATGAGCTTGTTCCAGCCCTACCTCTCCCTTGGATAACTTTTTGGTTTTCAGTTATTCATTTATTTATTTGTTACTGTATGTAAAAAGAATTTTAGGGGTCGCAGAATAATGCTTGAACTAGATCACCTACCCTGCCTATAAATGACATGAGGAAAAGATTATTTCGTCTGATGAGTCAAAGGTAACCTTTTGTGTGTATAAGTAGCTTGTAAAAACTAACCCAGGAACATTTAAAATACAAAGGGACTTCTACAAAGTACTGAATTGATGGTCCAAATATAGATTGATACTAATAATTGAGCTCTTAAATAAATTTAAAAAATGCCATAAAATATGTTTTCACATCAACATCATAAAAACAGACTTAAAGAGTTAATGAGGAATTTTTCTGATGTTTGTTCTTGGGTACATAGCTGTATGTTAAGAAATAAAACGGATGGCAGACTGGTAAAGCAAAATTGCTTTCGAAAAAAGAAAATGCAAAAGGAAGTATGGAGACAAAATAGCAGTGTAGCAGTAATTGCCTTTGTGGCCAGCAGCCAGCACTAATGGAAAGCGCTGGAGCCTTCTCCATCTTCATCAGTGACAGAGCTCTCTTGTTTTTATTTCTCTGAAGTGCCCTTACTGCTGAAGTAGTTGTTACATACTGCTCCAAACCACACTTGGGGATAAAAGATACCACCTCTGATTTTATCTGATTTCCTCGACTCAACAGACAGTGCTTTAACACTTGTTACCGCCAATGTACATGGAGGACAACTGTGGATTGAAGAAGGCTTTTCCTTATGTTTAGCTATTCCACCTGTATATCTTGTCTGTTAATTCTTAGGTTCTGGACTCACCATGATGAGCGTTTCCTCTACATGCTGATGGACTATGTGCCAGGAGGTGAACTGTTCAGCTACCTACGCAGCCGTGGGCGCTTCAGCAACAACACAGGCCTCTTCTATACTTCTGAGATTGTATGTGCCATTGAGTACCTACACTCCAAAGAAATCGTCTACCGTGACCTGAAGCCTGAGAACATCCTGCTGGACAGCGAAGGGCACATCCGCCTTACAGACTTCGGATTCGCAAAGAAGCTCTCTGACAGGTAATAGAAACAATATTAGTATCCAGTAACCCTAACCCCCACTATTACAGCATAATGTAAATTAACCTAAAACAATGAATCAAGTGAAAGAGTTCAATTTAAGACACAAAGATGATTCTTATTATTCTGAGCTCAGGCACATCAGTCCTGACTCTAATCTGGGAGATTATGTAGAATGGAAATGCTACAATGAGACTAGAAGTCCAGGAACTTGGTTCAGAGCTCCGAATTTACTTTCCCACAAGATGAAGATACATGGCATCGATACACAAAAACTCTCGGGCAGATAGAAAGGTCCCCACCCCACAGACAAAATGACTGAATGCCTTAAACAATAGCTTTAAATATGTTTGGGTAAAACCATCCCTTAAATAGAAAAGGTAAAATGAAAACAATTAAAGCGAACAAGATATTAGTGGAAGTGTCTTTCAAATTATACATTAAAGGTACAGTGTGTAGAATTTAGTGATATCTAGTGTTTAAGTTACAACTGAACACCCCTCACCTCACCCTCTCCTTCCAAACATGAAAAAGAACCTGAGGTAGCTTCAAATGTCATAAAAACTCAAAAGGTGTTTAGTTTGTCCAGTCTGGACTAATGTAAAAAACATGGCGGCCTCCGTTGAGAGGGTCCCCTTGATGTAAATATAAAGTATTTAAATATGAAGGGCCTTTTCTGGGGTAAAGAAAACTACAATTCATAGATTTAGATGAAACGAACTAGAGAAAAACTAAATGAGAATTATTGTATATTAAATTTCTGCCAATAGTTCCCTTTCACCTAAATCTTACACACTGGACCTTTAAAGAGTACAATAATTCTGCAACAAATGAATAAGACTAGAGAATTGGGAGCAATCACTCCCTCTCCTGACTGGTGGTGTGATGCACTCGGGATGAATCAGTTACTGGTTTCACGATTGAATTTCCTGACGGTAAGTATTACCATGTTAAATTTAAATTATAAGTAAAACTGCAGTTGATTGCCACTGTGTGAAGCTCATGGTAAAAAGCTGTCCAGCATCAACCACAGTGAGCAACGGTGTCCGAGGCACAGGCGCGCTGGTGCGACGTTGGGTTGTTTATGTGAAAGTTTAGGAGTCACGTATTCAAACATAAGAAAAAGATTTCTGCTGCAACAAAAGCCTCGCTATACCGGGATGATTTGATTGATGCTGTCGAGGATCAACCAAAGTCAGCACGTCTCCAAGATGCAGGCACAGCAAGGGCAGGGAAAACTGTTAGTATTTGCTGGGCATAGCTAACAAACGCTCACATTCACCGTCATCAAATTGCGTTTGTTTAACAAATACTCATATTTTGCTGCCAGGAAAACTCAAACTGTAGTGCTACCAGTTTGGAATTCTCCCAAAACTCATGTGGCTGTATAAAAATTCCTATCAGCAAAGTGGAAATCTGAAAGAATGATCAGTGCACATGTGAAACAGTGGCTTGGACTTCTGAGGTGAACTTGGAATTACCGGTTGCAAGTAAAAAATTCAAATGCACAAAAGCAAAGCTTGTTATGACACTCACCAGATCTGAAGATGCAGTTATTGAAACAGCTGCCCCCCTGGTGACACAATTGGAGACCTGATTGCAAAGATTTGGTCTGCTTTAGTTTTGTAATTCACTTGTCTGTTACCTGTTGCTCTGATTTGTTTTTTTATTTATAAGCAAAGTTTGATTTGAGTTTGTAATAGCAACATATAAATGCTTTTCATTGTAATACATTTATTAAATACGATGGCATAATAGAGCTCTGGTTGGTTAAAAAAGTAGAGAAGAGAGTTGGGGGAAGATGAAGTAATATTGATACGTTTTTCATTTAGTACCTCGGTGTACTTCCATGTTTTTTAATGTATTTCCGGTTCAGTTCAGTAACATGGAAACCCTGATAATGGAGCGGTTAATAGATTTTTACTTGGAGCTTGGCCTCAAATATAAAATAAATATAAAAATATGATTTGCATCAAGTACTTTATGAAAAAAATTACACTAATTCAGTACATCATTCAAAATCAGTGAACAGTAATGGTCAATTCAGTTTCATTTTCTGACGAACGATGACGATAAAACTATTATATATAACTATAACGATTGAAAAAGTGACAGCATAGTAGAACTAGCGGACTCACTAATGAAAAGGAATAATTCTAAAGAAGCTCCAGAGCAACAAAAGGCAAAGTTAACAGCCCATTCAAAACAGGCAGGTTTAGAACTGGCACGACACTGGTTATTTAAAGATTCATTCAATCATGAGACCCACCTGATTGATGGTAGATCATTTAAACAGTCCAGTACTTTGTAAATGTTTGTGGCATCTTTTTTAGATAACTCCACATAAGATCTATGTAGTATCCTGGCGTTGCGGTTTATTTCCACTATGTCAGCATTTTGTGTGGCTGCTGCGGAATGACAGATGGGAATACACTGCTCTCAGCCCCGAGCGTTTGATGCTTGATTGATTGTCAGTAGAAAGTGAATGACAGAGCAGCTGTCAGTCCACACTGATCTGATCTCATACTGTACATTCCCTCACAGAATGTGCAGAGCGAGCTACATTGAATTTAGCTTCGGTCAATGGAGAAAGTCGTAAAAGTTGAAATTGAGATCGGAAGAAAAATATCTGGACTTTTTGTATCGTGGCGGTCATCCTATCTCACATGATTCATTCTCAGGCCACAGCTACACTTTGTATTGGTTTTGGGGGTGCTGGTGTTGGTTTCATTTTCAAAGCCTTTGTCTAGTTCTCGCCGAAGGCCTCACAAGTCCACGATGTCGTATATAAGACATGAAAGTACACGGCACATGTAGAAGGGTAGCTTTATGCGATACTAATTAGGCCCCGTGGCAATCGTATCCGTTTCAGAACATTTTAAATCCAACCTTGATCTTTACTGTCTGTTTGGAGACAAATATCAATAATGACAAATCCAACACTGGATGTTTTCTGTCATTATTTATCCATTTCTCTGTGTTGAAAACAATTATTGTTGTTGTAACCATGGTTGTTAGCTGTCAACCAGCAATCCCACAATGCCTTGGGTTGAGTCTGTCAACAAGTTGTTGCAACAAGCATGCTCCCTTTTGCATGACTGATGATGAAGTGGAGAGTGCCAGTACTTCTCCACATCAGGCAGACATAGGTGTTGCCTGAATAACATAAGTCAAAGTAGTTTTACACACATACACACACTTTATACAAAGGGGAAATAGTGATCTCACTGTCAACTCAGAGGGATATGGCAGTGGAATATTTACAATGAATCCATATCAGACTTTAAAATCTTGTCCACACATGTCAAATGAAGCCATAATGAATATTTCAGAATAATTCAAACTCAAATATTGGTGGGAAATCTGAGTTCAAAATTATTCTGATCCAAATCTCATCCCATCATTCATCCCTGTGATTATTTCCAGGATAAAATGAATTAACCCCAGGCTGGCTTCTTAAAAATAAATAAATGAGCCAAATGAGCCAGTCTTTTGAATCGCTCTTTGAAATGAACGGATCCCAAAGATCCGGCTCCCTCCAAAGAGCCATAAATCCCATCTCTAGAAGGAAGCAACACAGCTTTTAATTGTTAAAGTGCAAAATAATTTACATAAACAACAATAAACAGTGACCAAAAATTCAGGCACAAAGGGTTAAGGGCAGAGGATGACACCAACTCATAAACTGAGCAAAAAGCCAGCCCTCTTCCTGATCTCTGGCCCGACTCCCCTGACTGATGGTTTCACACAAAAAGAAAAACTGTCTGCTAATTGTCAGTCACCACCCATTGGCCACCAATTGGCTACCGCCACCCATTGACCACCCATTGGCCTCGTGATCAACTGGGATCTCAGTCGCCCTACTCGACATCGCACAGGGTTTCTTGTACTCTTGCCCACAAGGACAAGACAGCCGGATTGGTCGCTGCGTCATTGGCCTGTGGGCAGTGCAGGGCGACGCTCCAGGAGGAATCCCCTGTAGGTGCGTCGGGTGGAGGAGTGCTTCACCTGTGGGTAAATAAGAGAGACTCCCCCACATCTTAATCAGTGACAAGGAAAACGCTGAGGGCCTCAACAGGCCCTTTATCTCATTGCAGATATAGAAACTGCGTTGAGGCAGGGCTTAACTGTTGCTATAAATAAAAACGGAGGGACACATCTTTAAAAAAAAGTCAATAGTTTAAGATGTGTGTTGGTTAGAATTTTTATTTTCTCCTGATTGTGTTATTTGAAATTTACGTTTCTATGAGATTCAATTCTGTCCAAATCAATTATAACAGCCCTGGCTGTTCTGAAAAAAAAAAAGATGGATATAAGTTGATTGATTGAGGATACCATTATAACACAAGGAGACCAGGAGAAACAAACATGGGGAAAAAATGGTTTAGACTCCAGATGGTTAATTTTAAGTTAGAAAGAAGAATTAAAATGTTTCTCAACCTTGAAGTCGGGTAAATATGAGGGGCCATGTGTTTTTTCTGACCTTTTAAAGTGGTTCTGTTAAAGGTACAGTTTGTAGAATTTAGTGATATCTAGTGTTGAAGTTGCATGTTGCAGCTGAACATCCCTCACCTCACCCTCTCCTTCCAAACAAAAAAAAGAAATAGACACTGAATAATTAAAACACCGCAGCTTCAGGACAAACGCGAAAGGTCTGAGTCTCTGTTGGGCTTCCCCCTCACTCCCCCTCTGACCTGCGCTCACTTTACATCCTTTTAATAATAAACACCTTATTATTATTGTTATTATTATTATATACAGTTATTAGGACACGTACAGGACATTTACTTTGTGTTTGTTTGATTCTCCAGAGTTTATGAGACAAATGTTTAAACCTGCGACACAACACGAAACGTGACGCGCAAACACACACACACACACAATGCCCCGTTATTAACATGAATATGAATTCAGCCGGTTTTTATAAACATCAGTTCTAAGTGTGACGAGCAGAAAACATCAGAGGAGCAGAATCACTTGTTGACCAGCGGATTAATGCGCCTCAGTGCAGTGGCACTGATTTAATTTAAGATAAGATAAAATAAAACTTTATTAATCCGCACCGGGGAAATTCAGTTGTTACAGCAGCAGGCATGTCAGAATGAGGTATAAGTATTAATAAATATAAAAAGGAATAAAAATTCAATTAAAAAAAAATCTGAGTATGTACATTATATACACCTTTTTACTATAGTGGTTTGTATGAAATGTTTATACATAAGAACGCTGTACATAAACTCCAAATATATATCTATATCAACTGATATGAAAAAAATCATTGTGATAAGATATTTTCCTAATATCTAATAATTATTTCATCAAGATCAGATGTGTGATTTAAGTGGGGGGGGTTTTTAAGCAGTGTATTTGCTGGATCTGGTCGCAAACATTTTATTTTCACACAGTTAATGTTCACATTGTACTACTGCCAAACTAGTAGTGTTTAACAGTGGAGCTATTTGAAAGGAAGCATCCGCCTTCATCCATATTTTGTGTGTGTGTGTGTGTGTTCAGTGTCCTTGAAAAGCTCATATTATCCTTTGGGAATTCGAGGGAATCCTCTCAACTCCAAGCGACCATGACAGTTGCACTGAAGGACAAACTTTGACTGATGTCATTTACTCTGAATTAGAATCACAGCGAGGGAGGCCTCTCGGTGACCACAGCAGAATTGGAAAGATGCTCTGTAGAGGAAAAGAGACAGCTTTCCATCTACGCTACGTTCTCATCACTGCACTGTCTCTCCCCAGTGTTTCACCCAGCACTCTGTTGACCCTTCGCTGACATGTAAACATAATGGAGTGAGATTACATTTTCCCCCAGACTGAGAAAGCAAAACAGATGGGGAGTAGATACCTCTCTAATGTACAAGTGACCCACTTATATAAATGGAGGGTAGCAGAATTGCCTGGGATAGGAACACAGTTACCTCATTGCTGCCTGTTCTCTTGTACTTTCTATGCTCAGGGTGTGATGGAGTGCCATCAAGCCCGGCCTCATGCTACCACAGTGTCCCCTGCTGGCAAACAAACCCATCAACACACTTAAACATGAAGCCATGTATGATATCAGACAACAACAGCACATTATTTCCTCCGGCCTCACCTCTGTCCATCAAGTACCGAGGCTTTATTCCCCTGACATCAACAGCCTCCTAATTCTACACCTGGACCAACATCATTTCCATACAAATCACTGTTGCCATAGCAACTGGCCCAAAAGAGGTCATTACCCAGGTGATATCAGTGACAGGCGATGAAAGGCTGGCGCTGGGCCAAGTGCTCTTCATCAGAGGACAAGTGTCTGAGAGGGAACAGTGTGCACGTTTGTTTCACATGCAGTGTCAATCAGCTGCTCTGTCAGCCCCGAGTGAGCCAGAGACAGAATCTGCCTCCACCTGCGGTGTTGTTCTTCACTTCTCATCCATCACTTGTATCTGGGCTCAAGCCCTAATTACATGTTCATCCTGTGGCTGCCCAGCAAGTCGTGACTGCCTCTTCCAAATCCATTACTGCTGCAGCCATAGCCAGGTCCTGTATCCTCATCGTACTATAACAGATAACACGACCAGGTCGGCTGTCACAGGCAGATCACTTTACCTGCGTGTTGTCTTACCCATGCAATAAGAGCTTCTCTTCTTACACACAGTATAAAATGTGCAGATGTATGCCGAGAAAACGGAAGATCACTTATCACCTGTCGAACAGTACTGGCCACATCACGCTAACAAGAATTGACAATGTGAAGGGTGCTTATATTTTTACATAGGCACAGGGACGGGTCTAAACGTATTAACGTTGGCAGCCTACCTTCCTGGCACTGTGTCCGCACTTTCCGAAACGTTATAAATATGTAATTGTTCGAATCCCGAACACAACAGACAATATATATAAAATGTATTGACATATTACTTATATTCTATTTGAGCACATAAGCTGATGATACATAAATCACCCGCATTACATTTTTCATAATAATTGTCACAAACTCTTTTTTCATTTGATCAAACTATTACATTTTTGAATTCTTTAATTAAGAAAAGAAATTGCAGCTTAATCAATAGTAAAGATTCTTGATACAGTCTGTCACTTTTTTTACACCTCCTGTTCATCAATCAAAATCATTCAAAATACTCAGTAATGTATAATATAATACTCTCATCTAATTGCTTATGCATAACCTTAGGCTTCCAAAAATCAGACAAAGAGAATCTAATGATGCTCACAGAATAAAACGTTGCTTTTATTTCAACAAAGACACTTTGAAACACACATTTCAAAGTCATCTGCTTCTGTCTGATCAGGACCTGGACTCTGTGTGGAACTCCTGAGTACCTGGCCCCTGAAGTCATCCAAAGCAAAGGCCATGGCAGAGCAGTGGACTGGTGGGCTCTAGGCATCCTCATCTTTGAAATGCTGGCAGGGTAAGTGCTACACCAGACTCCACCCATGCGGAACATCGGGGGGCGCTCTCCTCCGCCACAGCAGCAGAGCCCGCAACAAACACTGACAACTGCAGTCAGGTTTTGAGGCGTTTTGACCATTTCTATTGAAGAATGGTTATGTGGAGAGTGGCAGACTGGAAGATGCTGCTGTGCACAATGTCTCTGAGAGAGATCAGAGAAGTGTTCCCGCACACACATAAACAAACAGGGGGGAACAACTTCAGCAAACTGCTTTCAGTCAATCTGTTCAAACTGATTGTGACAATTAAATCCGAAAAAAGGGAATAACATCAGAAAATCCAATCATATCTAACTCAGAACCCTGAACCACTTCCCTGCAGTAAATCCTCCCGTTGTAAAGATTAATTTTATACAAGATAATGGTGTGCATTTTTAAATTCTATATTTGTGTAGTAATATCGACAACCTTTTATTCATGAAAAAGAGGGAGATTGTAAGTGTAAAGAAGTGAGAAGTGTAAAGTCACATTAGAATATCTGCCTTAAAATGGAATTTGCAAGGTATGGTATGTAATGATTTGGACTACTTGCATCATTATTGTGACAGTCACACAATTAAGCGACCTAAAGTAGACTGAACTCACCCTGACAGCTCTGTTATTGTGAGGATAAAGACCAGGACCAAGTCATTGCCCCTTATTACCCACAATTAGAATTGAAATGAGGAAACACAAAGATAAAACTGAATTTGCAGCTCATTTTATCTTTTACATTTCTGCTATGATTTTGCATTTTTCCATGTCTAGATGCTTAAATTATTAACATCAGAACAGATTCTTAATTCTTTGACCTGACATTTGTATGACAGTTGAGTTTCGTGTGCTTTAACATGACTAGTGTGTTTATTATACCATAACATACAAACTTGAATCCAGCTTAGCTGACTTTCAATAAGACTTTATCTCCATCTGCAAATTACGTAGCAATGTCCTGTTGTTTTGATGCTAATATATAATGTTACAGTTTTTCATGACTTTAAAGGTGAAGTAACACTATGTAACATGTTTGCAGTTAGCTTTGTGTTTTTCTTCCCAGTGATTTTTGCTTTAGAGCTTCTCTCCTTCCAAAATGACACTCGCTTTTTCCTTCAATGACAGTGTATTTTAAGTGCATCCAGTTGCCAGCCCATTTTGTTGTTTCCTCTTTATTGTTTGCTATCTGATCTCTAACACTCTTAGTGTTTAAGTGCTTATCTGGGTCCAGTCGACCGAAAAGGCGAGCAAAGAGGAAGAGAAATGTGCAGCAAAGCCACACAAAGAAGGACATCTATATCAAGTTATTTATTAAATGTATCTCATCTTTTTAGTTTTTACTCTCATCCATGATATTGCACGTTGTAGTCACAGTTATAATGTAAGTACATCTCATCGTCATCTAGGTATAGTCATGGAAAAAAGTTGTTGAAATGAAAATTAACACTAGTAGTGGATACAATAGCATATAGACCAACTATAGTCTATATTGTTTTATATTCCTTACCCTTAATTTATTACTTGCTGAGGTTTTTTTTTACTCTTGCTGCTGTAATTTACTAATTAACCCTCATATTGGACTTCTGATCTTATAGAGAGTAGAACAGTGGAGGACTCTATAAATGGAATGGAAGAATTATCTATTAATCGTGTCGCTGTTATTGTATAAGTGTGTCAGATATATTCATTGCATGCTTGTAGCATACTGCAGAGCAGCAATAACAATGAATGTCATTCATTGTTATTGACGGAGAGCAATGACGTTGATCCCCTTAAGAAATCTCTCGAGTTTATTCTGCTGCTCTCCGTCATCCGCAGTGAATGATGTCTGTGCCTCGTTGGTGTTCTGAGAGAACAAGCCTGAAGGTTGAGATTGACTTTGATTGAGACTTTGTTATTGGGACACAATAAGTGATATTCTATAATCCCACTGGTAATTAATCGAGCCAGTACAATAGCGTGGCCCTGCCTGCAAATTGCATGCTATCCCTTGGCAAAATTCACCAGTTTTGTTTCTATATTGACTTTTTTCATACATAATAAGAACACAAAAAATACATCATGACCACCCTCAAAATGGTGTTGCATCTTGGCTTAATCTATCCAGGCTTGTAAATATCTAGATTTGTCCCTCCAGCCCAGATCAATAGAGGAATGGTTTTTCAGAGAACCCACTTCCTTCAGAAGACATTAACACTATACTGAGGGTATATTGACATCAGCAGCCATTTAAAGTGCGGCATTCCCTCTCTTTTTGGTTATTTTTTGGTCCCCACAACCTCCTGAGGGAAATATCTGGCTTTCTCTCCACCAAATGCTCCGCCAACGGCTCGTTTCTAAATGTGTGGACAGGTAGTGGACAGTGGCTTTTTGCAGCTTAAAGGTCCAGTGTGTAAGATTTAGGTGAAAGGGAACTATTGGTAGAAATTTAATGTAGAATAATCCTCATGATGTTTCACTCGTTTCATGTAAATTGTATGAATTGTAGTTTTCTTTACCCCAGAAAAGACCCTTTATATTTAAATACTTTATATTTACATCGAGGGGGCCTCTCAACGAAGGCTGCCATGTTTTTTACGTTAGTCCAAACGAAACACCTTTTGAGTTTTTATGACAACTGAAGCTTCCGCAGGTTCTTTTTCATGTTTGGAAGGAGAGGGTGAGGTGAGGGGTGTTCAGCTGAGACATGCAATTTCAACACTAGTTATCACAAAATTCTACACACTGTACCTTTAAAGCAATTACTGACACACTTGTCAATAATTCCCATGGCTATAAATGAACAATTCCGTTCATCACACATTGTCTCAGAGACATTACTTTACTTTTTTTATCTGCTTCACGTTCATAAATTTTTTCATGATTAGACAAAAAGGACAAATGCTCGATAATAAACCGAACAAAAGCAATATCAAAGAAAGTAACTTCAAAAAATATTTCTACGGTTTGATTTCTACAATTAATGTGATCGCTATTTACATTTCACTCTATGAAAGGTCATATGATGGACTTAATGTGGTTTGATTGTTTGTGTAATTAATGACTCTTCTCCTTCCACATTGAAAACCCAGAGTTTCGTAGTACAGGTTATCTTGGATGACCAATGCGATGCACATCCCCAAACCCTTCAGTAAAAGCTTGGCTATAAATTAATATTTTTCATTAAAATGTTTTGGTTTTCTTGTAGACATCCAGTGTTAAGAAATTCAGCTTTAAAATGTAATCAAACAAAAGTCTCCCATCCATCACGTAGCCTTTGGTCAAACATTATTGCTTTAACTCTTGAATATGGGGCAGCTTTCTCCAGTACTGCTTAAAGGTCACCTGTGCCCGAGCCCGGCCTACCATCACCCCGACATCCATCTTCTTTATACTCTGGTAGGAAAAACTGGGGCTCTGAATTATTTGTGGGGCTGTGAGCTTTAAGGGCAGGTTTTGAAGTGTTGCAGTCCTAGCAAAGAGTGGACCCCTAAGAGTTTTGCATTCTTTTAGGTTACAGTCCACACCACATCATAACTAAATAAATAAATAGACAAGTGTAGTTTTGTAAAGAAGGTAGTGGCCTCATACTTTCTGTATTTACACCTTTGGTGACATAAGCAGTGATGGCATTTGGATCAACCACATATGAGGGGAGGTGTAGTAGGATTTGTAAACAGTATATCTTTTTTGCATGGGGTTTCAATCAAGCTACCACAGGCGTTTTAAAAGTTTCCAGTAGAGGTGTGGGTAGCGAGGATGTTGGAAGGGTTTGTGTAAGCAGTTTCCTTTTATCTTTCAGTGGGACATGACTTGAGTCTACCTAAAGGACTCTCTGGTCAGTTTTCGCCACTGCGCTTAATGGAAACGAATCCTCTGTGTATATGGAGTCATACATGTGGCTGTGGGTATGAAGTCAGACTTCTCTCACGATGAAAACCTGCCTCTTCTGTTATTCTTAATCCCCCCCCCACACACCCTGCCGGTCCATCTCAGCTCAGTGGAGCGTCAGGAGAGTGTAAACCTTCTATTGGGCCCTTTATTATGCACAGACAGATGGTGGATGTGATTTCAGCGTTGGTAAAAGTCACAGAAATGTCAGTAAGACACCATGACCTTCTACTCTCCTGCTCATCATTCTGAAGTAGGAGATGTCATGAGACACATTAGTAGAATTCAAATTCAATTTGATGAAATGTATTTGTAAAGCGCTGAATCTTAACACACATTATCTCCAGGTACTTTACATAGTAAGGTCAAAACCTTAACATTTATTGAGAAACCCAATAGTTCCCACATTGAAAAGGCAATCTAGCGACTCATTAACTGGAAGAAACATTTAGCAGAACAAAACTCAATGTGGGCGGCCATCTGCCTTGACTGGTTGGGGTGAGCAATTACAAGTGAACCACACTGTTGACATTTTTGCCTTTACCAAAACTAATTTCCTTTGCAGTGCTGCACACTGAGCTGTAAAGGGCTGCTTAAAATGTATTTTGCACTACACTTTGGCTGCCGGTATCGTTAGAACGTCTCTCTGCCTTTCACATTCTTGATCTATTCAGCTATCCAGATGATAACAAATTCTGATGAATCATGAACACATTCCACCATAAAGTACTCCTATGTTTGTGTAATTTATCAGGATTTTCTCTGTTCTTTCATGAACCGTCAGTTAAACTCAACAAATGGCCATATGTTTTTGTCTTCCCCCTCATTTTGCTTGAATGACCCAGATTCTTCAGCTATGACAGCATCCGTTTTGGAAATAAAAACATACATGAGGGCAGTCTGTGGTGAAAAGCCAGCTCCCAGACACCCCCATCCACAGTCTACTGACTATGGAGCTTTTTTACTAGGAAGGCAAGCGGGGTATGACAAACTGATGCGATTACGGGCCTGTCTGTTCGGTGCGTAATGTGTTTGGTGGCTGGTCCCATTATGTAATTTGTGGGTAATGACTTGTCCAGGCCAGAGGAGAGGGAAGAACAGGAGAGCTTGGATAGCAGTCAGTGGAGTGTAGCAGCAGAGGGTCTGTGGGTGGTAGAAACACACACACATACAATTTGTCAGAATAGCTGTAAACAAAGGCTGCTCTGTCCACAGCTGAAAGTTTTTATAACACCCCACTTTAAATGTTGACCTCACCAAACGTCCACTCGCCTTTTTTTTTTTTTTACTTTTACAGTTCATTGTGTGTAAGCTCTTACCTTTCTTTCCTGTTTTCTTGCATCATGCTGTTTTTTCGCAGAGTATAAATTGAGTTTGCACACTGTGACAGTGGGTGTGCAGCTTCATTGCATGGGACAGGCTTGAAACGACATGTATTTCTCTCCGCAGGTACCCACCCTTCTTTGATGACAACCCATTTGGAATCTACCAGAAGATTTTGGCTGGAAAACTCGAATTTCCCCGCCATCTGGATTTCTATGTCAAGTAAGTGCTGGACACGAATATGTGTATTTTCCATGTCCTTGCATGTACCTATCTTTTGTTGCAGTAAGGGAATTGTCTCTTACTATTTCTACCAGGTATTATAACACTAAACACCAGAAGTAAATGCTGGTAACTAAAAAAACTACTTTTCTGCATCTCTGTGGACTGAAAAAGATTGACAGGATGGACATTACTACCACATTACTACATGAGTACTTGGTAATAGTCATTCCATTGCTACATTTTCACATGAATACTCAGTAATCATCACTGTACATACATGCACAGAATTTGCATGTATTTACTCTTTAAAACCAGAGATGGTATTCAGCTGAAGTTATGGTTATATAGAGCTTTTCCAGTGTTATCGACCACTCAAAGCTTTTTGCGGTACAAGTCGCTGTCACCCATTCATGCAAACATCTATGCAGTGCTTAAACACGCAGCGCTTTTTTCTATCAGACACAATTCATACACTTTTGGCAGAGCTGTCGCGGTCAATTTGCAGGATTCCATTCTTGCCAAAGGACAATTTGGAATGCGGATGGAAGGAGTTCGGGATCAAACCATCAAAAGCTGAATCGACTACCCTCTCTACCTCCTGAGAGAGAGAGAAACTAGTAGGGCAGGGCTGTTTTTCTCAGCATCACAAAATGACATATCTATCTTCTGAAATATCAGATTTTCAAACATTAGGTCTTATAAACATGTAGCTTCATCTTTGTACAAGTACTGCTGCTGTTAGCCAAACTGACGATTATGTAAAAATAAAACCTGGGCTGCGGATGGACCTGTTGCTTAACTTTGGCCAGATACGGTTAGTCTTCCTGTTGAGGGTCACTAACGCACCCTGCCTGGTTCGCATAAGCATAATACTGGAATTGTTAGGGGCCATATGGGCAGTCTGTTTTGCTGGCAATCAATTAGCTGTCTGGAACTAAAAGAGGGCTATTGATGCACTCGACTGATTTGGACTGGTTCCCCCATATGGCGTTTATTTTGACTCAAAGTTTGTTCTCATAAAAACCATGGTGCTCAAAATGCTGCTTGTATACAGTCCTGTGCGTATGCAGAGTAGAAATACTCCCTTGCAAGTATGGCTTTGTGCTCGCTGATACTGTTCTGTGCACTCGTATCATATGCACGGACGTGGTTTTTTATATGCACACATTTTGTGAGTGAGTGAGTGAATATGAATTTGCTCTCAGTCATGACACAGCGTACAGTGTCCCCATAGAAGCCAGTGACACACTGCTTCCCCTGGCAGTTCTGTGAATCCAGACCTTCACTGTTAAGCCATCCATCTTGTGTCCAGCTAGATGAAGGATTTTTAATATACTTCACCATTTGCATTAATGTGACGTCACACTCTTCCATCCGTCAAAAAGCGAAATGCCTCGCTGAAGACTGCAGGCGGTGTCCCTTGCAGCAGCGGCTGCCGAGCATAGACAATCAGAAAGACTGGAGAAGTGTCCCAGGGTGACCCCAGCATAAAAGTCTTGTAATGCATTAGTCATAAAATTAGCTGCTAGTTAAGGAGTGAGCAGTGTTCACCAGTCATCAGTCACATTAAAATTCTACAGAGGTATTGAAATGCTACATTTACATATTACATTCATTTAAAGTAACATTTTGCATGTGCATTTTCCAATCAGCCAATCATGTGGCAGCAGTGTCTTGCAGGTAATGTTCACATCAAGCATCAAAGGAGAGGAAAAATGTTATCTCAGTGACTTTGATGCTGTCAAACATGCTGAGTATTTGTAAAAGTGTCTTACTGGGATTTTCATATTTAAGTCTCAAGCTTCTTCCAGTGAGCAGCAGCTCTGGACAGAAACATCTGGTTGGTGAGAGAGACATGTCAGCGTAAGAGGACAACATCATTAGCATGTAAAGCCCCAGCATGTTGAGGTTCTAGTCAGATATGGAGGAGAACATGCTGTCGACAGCTTTGCCTTGGAACTGAGGTGCCTTCACATCATTTTTTTTAGATCAAACATTCTTCATTATTCTCAATAATAACACAACAATAATAATGAGAATTATAGCTTGCATTTATATAGCACCTTTCATGGCACCTAAGGACGCTTTACATATATATGCCTGTGAGTACAAAACAGAAGAGAAAAGAAAAAAGTAATAGTACAAAACAAGATAGACATAAGGAGCAGTGTGAAGCATTGAGTTTTTTGAAGATGTCGAGAGATTCTGCGTTGTGTATTTCGTCAGGGAGAGAGTTGCAGAGGGGTGGGGGCTGCGACACAGAAGGCTCTGTCTCCAAAAGTTTGCAGCTTGGTGTTGGGGATGGAGGGAAAACCTGAGTTTGAGGAATCGCAGCCTTCTGAGCGGAGTGTAGGGATGAAGGAGGTCGGTTAGTTATAGTTGGGCTAGGGCATGGAGGGATTTTACAGGCCTTTTATCGATTATTGGACAATTATTCATCTCGATCAGACAATTGTTATTATTGCTGTTCTGTTTTGACTTATGGGTGGGTATGCATTGTGGTGCTCTTTCTTTGCATGTGTGTTTGCCTTTTGTTAAAGTCAGACATACTGCTGCTGTGTCACAAAAACAAACACTCAAGAGTGAAGTTGTTGAAAGAATATTTTGGCATTTAATAAAGTCCTGTGTAAGTCAATTGAGTTCTCTTTTATTATATTTGTCTTTGAACCAACAGATGGTAACCAATTTGTGGAAGCAGACTGTGATTATATCTCTTCCTAAAGGAAGCAGAGGCAAAGTGTTCAATGATTTTAGGCCGTTCGCTCTCATTTCTCTTTGAATGAAAACATTTTGAAAAGATTGTGAAGTCAGAGCTTATAAGGGAAACAGAGCATGCACTTGGCTATATGCAATTTACCTATAGGGCATATAGAGCTGTTGAAGATGCCACAATCACCCTGCTAAATCTATTATTCAAACATCTTAAAGGGAACAAAACCCATGCTAGATTATCTTTTCCTGATTTCTCCATTGCTTTTAACTCAGTCGAACTCCACATTTTGGCTACGAGACCAAAAAAGCATTTTTAACTGAGTCATGATCTAGTGGGCTTGTTTTTGGATTTCTTAACAAACAGAACAGTCACTATGGTGCTCTGCTGACTCACCCCAGGGCTATGTCCTATCACTCTTACTTTTTATCCTGTATACAAACATGTGCCAAAGTAAACATGGCAACACTGGCGTATTTTGAAATTTGCAGAAGATAGTTATTATGAGTCTGCTACGATTTTATCAGTTAGTTTGATAATAATTTTTCGTGCGTAACATATCCAAAATGAAGGATATGATGATTCATTTTTGGAAACATGCCCCCACCCATGATTATACAATCATCAAAGGCTAGCCTGTGGAGTTTGTGGAAAATTATAAGTTTCTTGGGTGTGTCATTGACTGCGAGGCACTTTGCAAAAAAAGGTTGACCCTGTTTTATCAAGCTTTTATTGAATCTTCGTCTCAACTCAACCTGTCCTGTACTCCATACAGCTTCAGCGCAACTCTACTCTTCTGGGGCCTCATTTATAACTGTTGCTTACGCATAAAGCTGGGCCTGAAACTTGCATTCGCCGCTTCAAACGTTGGGATTTACAAAAACAAACTTGACAAGAGAACGTGCGTATTTCCACGCTAACTCCGACCCGCGCAGAGAGACGGCAAAATGACGATGCAGACATGAGATGTTGAACTGAAGCAAGATTATTGATCCACTTCATCGCCAACATTAAAACCAACAGCGCTAGTTGTGCTTGCGTGACATATCTGTTCCATAAGAACCTTTAATTGAAACATACATAAAACAACTTACAGCAAATTCAATTCAGATAATAATAAACAGCAGAGTTGCAGAGCTGAGTGGTTAATAGTTTTTAAAAATATCTATTAACACTGTGTGTGTAAACAAACTTCCATTTCCAAATAATATCCCAGATGTGTGAAGTGATCAGTCCGATTGCTGGAAATATATAAATATTGCGGTGACACTTACACGTAATGCTGCGTGATAGATGCACGTGAATGGAAGGAGGAAACGAGGGATCAGCGATGACAAAAATCGTTTGTCCCATGACGATGACTAATCAGCTGATATAGATTCTACAGATCTTGGCCGATAGAACCGAACCATCGCAGTGCAAACACAAGCATATAATAATAATTGTGTTATATTTTATATATTGGGGACATCACAGTTGTCTCTGAATGTACTAATCCTTGGATGATTAAAAAACAGGCGATAGACACACTGTCACATTCTGACAGTAGAAGCGATTCTTTTTTTGCCTCCACCTTAGAATTAGATTTCTCGTTCTCTTTTATTAATGACAACACCGCTTTCCCATTAAATCGCTCTTCACCTCCACCTCCCTAACAAACTTCTCGATGTCAGTGACAGAAAGTTTCACCATTGGTCTGCAGGATAATTGAATGTTCATGACGTGCTTTGCATTGACCATTTATGGTTGAATGGGGCCGTGTAGAGGGCGGGATATGAGGCTGATCCAAGTACGAACGTTTCCAGGTGGACTGTGATTTATAAAGTGAACATTTAGCAAACACTTTCAGTATGAATCCTCCTTTTATAAATGAGGCCCCCCCTGAACTGTTCCTGTTTTTAACTTTGGATTGCTGTACCCTGTCTGCATAACATACTTTACCTTTGGGTAATAATAAAGAAACTGACTAAATGTTATAGTAACTGAAAATTTGATTTTATGTGACAGTGAAAATGAATTTAGTATAAAAATCTGATTTAAAGCCGACAATCTTTTGAAGGAACTGCAATATAAAGTCGCTTCTCCTATTTGTGTTTCTTCGTGAAAACAATTAAAAGACATACATTCAGATATTTTCCCATGGGTGCTTATTTAAACATGTTAGTTTGGCAGATTTCCTTTTGACAGAGTCTGCGGGAGAACACTTTTCAGAATTCTATTTTGTAGCTGTGGATTCACTGACTGCCTCTCCTCCCCCCCTCCTCCAGAGACCTCATCAAGAAGTTCCTGGTCATCGATAGAGCCAGACGGCTAGGCAACATGAAGGTGAGTGTGTTAGACTTTCTGTCTCCTTGAGCCACGTGGCAGCTCGCCATATTTCGTAGGTGCTCTGACGTCAGCAGTCAGAGACCAGACAGCATGACTGAAGCTGCACGTGGTTCCAGTTAGTCATAAATGAAGATAAATTATATTGTCAGACTGTTGGTGCTGATATTTGTAATATGTCTGACTTGCAATGTAAATATTAGTATTCCCTAATGACAACAACATCCTTACTCTCTTACAAAGCTCAGCAACACAAAGTTACACAAGCCCACAGAGATATACTGCGTCTGCAAACCTTCAAAAGTTGACCTCAGGAGACTTAAAGGTCCAGTGTGTAGAATTTAGGTGAAAGGTAGAAATTTAATTTAGAATAATCCTCATGATGTTTTCACTAGTTCGTTTCATCTAAATTATATGAATTGTAGTTTTCCTTACCCCAGAAAAGACCCTTTATATTTAAATACTTTATATTTACATCGAGGGGACCCTCTCTACGGAGGCCGCCATGTTTTTTACATCAGTCCAGACTGAACAAACTAAACACCTTTTGAGTTTTTATGACAACTGAAGCTACCACAGTTTCTTTTTCATGTTTGGAAGGAGAGGGTGAGGTGAGGGGTGTTAAGCTGAAACATGCAGCTTCAACACTACATATCATACAATTCTACGCACTGTACCTTTAAAGGTTTCCTTTTCCTTTCACCTAAATCTTACACACTGAACCTTTAAACTGTATTTAATCCTATAGATGGCATGGTGTCATTTGACATTGACATAAATCTAAATCTAAGATTTTGAGACCAGTGTTCCACATTTAGGTCACATTAAAAGACATTTATGACAAATGATCAAGCTGCAAGATGTACAGTGGATGAACCCGTCGTTCAGGTATATAAAAAAGCAGATGTACCACACAAGGAAGGAAACTTAAAGAAACAGGATAATGCTGCACTTTCACGCTTCACACTGTTTTGCTCTGCTCTTAGTGTGAGGATACAAACACCACTGGAAAGCTCTACTACTAGTTCTGATGTGATTCCCTCTTGGTTGTCTCAACAAAATAAGGTTGAGTCAAATAACCAACATAGCAACAATATTTTTTTTCCCCAAGGCAGTTTAACCTCAAACTGACCCTGACTGTCAGAGTTCCGCTTGCAGCTTCAAAGTCTCTAAGGCTCTCTTAGAAAACTTGGAAGTTGTTTTTCAAAAGTGAATGAGGGTATTAAAGGACAAATTTATTTTATTGTACTTCACTTAAATCTCTGCAACAACTAGAATGCACAGAAGTTACCCAAACACAAAAAAGACAGAGTAGAAAACAGTGTATTTTATCATTTAGTCATTTTGCTTTCGGGAAGTCTGTCTGTAACATTCCCATGTGTGATATCTCTCCTGAACGCCTTGAGGGAATTTCTTCAAATTTGGTACAAATATTCACTTGGACTCAAGGATGAAATTATTAGAATTTGGTGATCCGAGATCACTCTGACCTCGCAAAGCACATTAATGTCTTGTGAAGGTGATACCTCTGGAACACCTGAAACATTCACTAGAACTTGGATTTCATTTTGTTAGCCCAAGGTAAAGTTCATGGTGGCCTAACAAATTATCTTAAGATCAGCTCAAGGGTATTTCTTCAAAGGTGTTACAAATGTTCACTTGGATTCAAAGATTAATTGATATGGGTGCTTGGGGATCAAGGGTAGTGAATTTTATTTCAGAATTTAAAAGGGGCCTCATGAATGTGGTATCTCAAGAGTGCTTCGGGGAATTTATCGAAATTTTAATCAGATGTCACTCGGACTAAGATTTTTAGATAAAGTGACCTTTCAGCAGTCACATTGACCTTATATGAATCTGGAAAAAAAAGTATGTAAAAATATGTACATGCTAATTCTAGTTTAGAATTGGACTGGGAGCCTGACATCAATCGTTATTAGTTGTGTCGATTCCTATTTTCATTGTTGACTAAAAAAAAAAGACTCACTCTCAATAAAACTAATATATATCTCTGTCACATCAGGCTACATCGATTGTATGTAAGGAGGAGGTGATGCATATGATGCCTCTGATTCTAGAACACTGCCATACTGTCTAAAATCCCATTGAGATGGAATGCTGTAACCAATTCGTGGGCATAGTGTAAAGGACGATCTGGAAGACACCTCCAAAGGTGGTTTAGAATGACCAAGCTAAGATTTTGTGGGACTTCAAGATAGATAAAATGGTGATGGCTAACCAACCAGACATTACCTTGATTAACAAGAAGGAGGTTGGTAAGGAGGTAATTGGAGAACTCAGGGCTGTGGCTCCAGCAGATTCCAGGAACAATATGAAATGTCAGTCCTGAAGAGCACAGTCCTAGGAACAGCTATGATACTGCAAAGAACCCTTAGGTTCCAAGAACTTTGGTAGAGGACCCAAGCTTGGAGGAGGAAATGTAAGACCACCCGCATGGAATTATATAAACAACGTGATCCCTGTGCTGATAGGACAACCAGAAAGATCTCAGACTTTTCCAATTCAGTTCAACTCAAATTGAGTCCAAGTAAATGAGCCCAGGTAAATCTCTCCGAACATGAGCTCCACCAATTCAACACCACTGATAAAGTTACCATGTTGGATCTGTTTTCAAATAAAGTTTGAGCTCTTTCTTGTTTAGGATACCCAGATGTTTTCTGTTATGACATCAGGAGAGCTACTTTTACAATCAAAATGAACTCGCATAGACTTGGGGGGCTGGCAAAAGAACTCAGGTCAAAACAGAATAGGAGACACTGGAGCTGAACTGAAAAGATCCAAACAAAAACCAAACACAAAGAAAAAAAAAAATGGAATAAAAGTCGGTAAACTGAAATCTTTAAAGTCTCTCAAGAGTTCACACTGAGTCACAGTCATGACGCCATGTTTTCTCTTTCAGAATGGAGCAGATGATGTGAAGAAGCACCGCTGGTTCAAAACAATTGACTGGGAGGCAGTTCCTCTACGGAAACTGAAGGTGAGAAGTGTTAATATCTTATCATATAATATCTATCATGACAATTCAGTGGTTGCGATTTGAATCACATCTGTTTGTGTAATGCATGTTAGTGAATCTTGCTTTTCATTCCAAAATTGTAAGATGGTTGCATTTTCTAAAATGCCAGGGACAGTCCTTATGTCCCTGGCATGTGTGTGTGCTCCCAGACAGCACGCACACACACACACACACACACATTTTCTCTCAATCCTGGCATTTCCCTTGATGACCTGACACGGGGATGATTTAATTGTGATAAAAACATGTTCACTCTCGCTGGATTGTTAACAAGTGTTTACAGTTTACAATTCATCATATGTGAACTGATTCGTTCAGTTCATCATTCACGGAAAATATGAACGTTCACTGAATCGTTCATGCACAACGGCTCCGTTAACGCTAATTAGTACAAGTAGGGTCAGAATAGTTCAATAATTCTAAGTTAGATATCTGATCACTATGTTGTGTGTTTTACAGAACAGTGAAAGGTCCAGTGTGTAGAATTTAGTGACATCTAGTGGTGAAATTGCATGTTGTAGCTGAACACCCCTCACCTGACTCTTCCAAACATGTAGGAGAACCCGTGGTAGCCTCAGTTATAAAAATTCAAAAGGTGTTTAGTTTGTCCAGATTGGACTAAAATCGATGTAAATATAAAGTATTTAAATATAAAGGGTCTTTTCTGGTGTAAAGAAAACTTAAATTCATACAATTTAGATGAAACAAACTAGTGAAAACATGAATATGAGTTTTATATTCAATTAGAGCCAATAGATCCCTTTCATCTAAATCTTACACACTGGACCTTTAAGCCCTATGAGATCAAATGTGATTTCTCTGTACCATACAATTAAAAATGTATTGATTGGCTTAACAACTGTCATTACAGCAAACATATCAGGCTTGAACTTGTACTGTTGTACTGTGTCCACAGCCTCCTATAGTGCCTAAAGTTTCCCATGAGGGTGACACCTCCAACTTTGACGTTTACCCAGAGGACGACTGGAAGAAAGACCCTCCTGTGCCTCAGAAGGACTTAGAGATCTTCAAGAACTTTTGATCAGTCTGCCTGGTTTATTTATTCGTGGAATATCCTGAGAATTGACCCAACATATTCTAAATGTACTGTCGCAGGGAGTCACATTTTATCTGTAATAATGACCTCCCTACCTACCAACTCCAAATGATTGATGCTGTGACCTGTATCATACCACAGAGATGATTTGCTTTTTATATGTTTATTTATGTGACCTAAGTCGAACTTTTGCTGTTTTAAATTTTTATAATTTTTTTTCTGAGCCTGCTCATATGCAAAAAGTGTGGTTCATTTGAAACCAAAAGACTGTTACTTCCTAGGTTTAAAAAAGAAAAATAATCAGGTCTTTTTTTATATTGTTTTATATTTTCTCTCTTTCTCAAATGTTCATGTCTTCATATTTAATGTGACTCAAGACTGGTGCTGTAATTGTAAGCTGGCCAGTGGGTACTAATGTGCAGTTTTGGACTTACTATACTGTGTAGTCATGAGTCAGACACTTTATTTGAAAATGTGTGACCTGTAGCACTTGTAAAAAGGTGCCTTACATCACAGTTTATTGGGCAAGGTGTCTCGCAGTTCCCTAAAGCTCACATGAAATCTTCTGGCAGTACTAATTGAAATTGAATCATTTGAACCATCAGCACACGTGAGGTGTTGCTGAATGTGCTGTCTCGTCTTCCACTGTAAAACTCTCATCTCCCATCTCTGTTATTTCCTGTCGCACCTCTAAAACAGCTTTATCCACAGTAGCGACTTCGTTAGTACAATAGCCATGTGAAGTGAAAGGTGCTGGGACTTTGGGCCCTTGACATCTAATTTCTTCTTTGTAGAGCTGCATTATAGTCAACCGAGTCAGTTTTCATCCACATGTCAGTGTATCGTGTAGTCAAGGCTTAAAACATATTTATATAGTGATATTTCAGGACATTATTGGCCTTTAAAATAAACCGCGTACTGATCTTTCCATTTTTATACGCTGCCATTGAACTTGTCGGTGAGGGAGTGATGTTTCAGGTACAGGTGACGCCAGTCATATACCGAGGGCATTCGGCACAGCACTGCTCTGTGATTACTCAGACCTCCCACCCTTTACATGTGGCAACTTGTATTTAACTAGAGGAAATGTTTGAAGCACAACAGATACTGCAAAGTCGGTGGTTGTGCAGCCGGGGACTTCGCAGGAGTCAACACTTGAAACACGTCGGTGTTGTGCATGTTTACTCTTAACAATGCTTGTTAAACTGTTCATATGACACCTCACAACCTTATCATGCTTTATTTTCTCCCCAACACTAAATCTGTTTTTGGTTTTGCAACCTGTCATGTGTTTTTCTGCACCAAAGGACTGAACTGACCCTCAGTACTGAACTATTTGGGGTAATGTCAACATTTGCCATATGGACCTGTAGTGCTTTTTTTTTTTTTTTTAAAGTAATCAAAACTTTCTCTAGTCAAGTTGTTTTTTTTCTTGTGCCTACATTACCCAAAATGCTACTTGACCATAGTTGGGTAGGAAATGTCAGAGGTGTGTTATGCTAGCTGTGACTCATACACTGTTGCCTTCAGGGCTCTCTGCTGACATAGATACCTGACTAGGTAGTTCCGTTGCCCAAATCCAAACTCATTTAACTGCCCCGATCTCTACATGTGGACATTCTCGCTCTTGATATACCTCACCTGATTTCTTAAAGCCTTGAAGGCTCAATGCTCCCACGGCTGCTTATAGCAGCTAATGTATCGCACAGCCTGCAGCAGAGATGAGGGGGGTTAAAGAGGTCTGGTAAGTCCCCCCCCCCAGATATCTTTACTTTCAAACTTGTAGTATTCAGGACACATCAAAGGCAAGTGTTTTCACACATGCAGTCATACTGCACAACATCTGGAGGACTCCGAGTAAGATGAGATGCCCCTAAATACAACCCCAGAACTATATACTCAACTTATATAAATGTCAAATAGCATGTGTTGTCTTTCCAAATCAGTTCTTGGCGTTTAAGGGAATTGAGATTGTCGCAGGATTTTTTTTTTCTAAAATGTGAATACTATATAAATGCACTGCAACGCATTAGGCATTTCTATACTAGCATTTCTGTCCACATATGTCACACTCATATACAGTATTGAAGTATAACCTATTAAACCAATGTCATTGTTCCACAGTTACTATAATATTGATATGAGAATTAATATCACATTCACATCAGCCTCTCCTCCCTCTTATAATGAATATTTCACTTCGTTGTCTCCTGTTTGTAATGTATTGCTCTTCACGCTGCCCATAATATCACACCATTCTGTTTTTTAAGCTCATCCATTAAGAACAATTTCCGTACAGCGTCCGTCAGTAACCTCCAACTCAAGTCCATTTTGTTTTACACAGCAATATGTTTTCTAATTGTCAGCCTTTTCCTTGACCATGCTTAGTTTTTGACCCAGTAGCTAGACCTACGTGGTGCATATACAGAAACTCCTCTTCTACTTTTAACAATGGAATTGTAAGCTACGGCCCATGTTTCTGTGAACACTGAAGCATCTTCAGAAGTGTTTCAAAAAATTAAATGTTAAAAAAAAAAAGAAACAAATTCCCTTTTCCAGTCCCCGTCCTGCTTCTTCCTGTCCCTGTTCTAAAGCCTCAAGTCACGGAGCAGCTGCTGTGGGTGAGACAGGTCAGTAGCCGGGCCTGTGTAGACAAGCGATGCTATTATATTTACAAAATGGAGGTGTGACATTTCGGTTTATTTCTGAGTTTTAGAATATCTGTAGCTCAACTTACCTTGACAAAAATGTACAGCCTACAGCCTGTACAGGGTTTAACAGAGAAAAGCATCAACGTACACCATCATCCACTGACCATGGATATATAAATATATATATATCCTAGCAAGGTCATCTGATTTTATAATTGGATACTGCTAAACATGTTCCAAATAAGTCTTTTCATCACAGTTACATTATCAATGTTAATTCATGTTTATGCGAAGCATCCTACATGTCCTGACATGATCTTCTTCACCTTGAGTCCCACATTTCCCAGTTTCTGGATAGCAGCGGCTCTCCGGGTGGTGTATCTGTCTCTCTCTGCACATCGTGGGTTACATCTGTGACAGCTGGTTTCCTCCCAGGGGAATGACGGCACGCCAAAAGCTGCTGGTCACAGCTGTTACCCTTCTCGGCTGTAGACAGAGGGCTTGTACCCCAGGTGGAATTATGCATTGACATTTTTTTCCAAGAGATGCTACCAGGCTGAGGCGATTCCCTGGCTTCTCAAACATAGCGGCCCTCCAATTGTCTCTGTCTCTCGCCAGTGGGTCTTTAATGATTTAAATGCCTGTGCGGTTGCATCAGATGCAAACAGACTCATTTTGTTTTCACGTTGTCTGTCTTTCCGTCCATCCTGTTAACATGAGGTCTCTCAGGAATGTGAGAGTTACTTAAAATTGGGCTCAAACGTTCACTTGGACTCAATTGATTCGATTTTTCTGTCAAGGTCAAAGGTCACTGTGACTTGCATCCTTTCTTATTAACATTTCTCTAAACCACTGAGTACAGAACACTTGTTTTTATCGATGTGCATTTCTGTCTGCAACAGCGTCTTTTTGATCCGAGTGTCTAGAGCACAGGTGGTTACTTCTTTCCCTCCCTTGTATGACTAAGAAGACATTTCGGGAATTATGAGTAACGAGAAATTGTTCATATATTCCTCACGGTTCCTCAGAGACTGCATGTCTGTGCGGCTGAGACATTTGAGCCACACTTGAGAGTACTGCAGTTCCTCTTGCTGCCATGTGGGGCTGCCAGTGTGTGACCCTGCCCTCAGTGCTTTTCTGATGTGCACATGGACGGCGTTGGTGGTTTCCCCTTGGTTAAGTACCTCCTGATGCTACAGTTCCCATGCTTTATCTGAATTTCTTTAAATCAAATCCATTTTTTTAAACAGCAGTTTATGTTACCTTTATTAAGCATTCATTTCCTCACTCTAAATCTAAAGGTGTAGGAGTGGTGTTGATGTGCATAACACCGTGTTTCAAGGATGGTTATTATGTTTACAGTGGAAAAGTGAGTCATGTTTTGTCTGGAGTCCATGCAAGTCTACCGCTAAGTGATGAAAGTCAGAGCTAGAGCTACACAGAGCTAATAGCCAGCTAATAAATGCCTTATGAAGCGCGTTCAAGGTGAATTAGGTGGAATGACAGCAGAGGCTGTGGGAGAGGGTTATTTCCCAGAAAGCCTCTGTGACATAAAAAAATCAGGAGGTGATAAAAACTTCCCAAGAGAGTAGAGTTCCAAAAACCTGCATTTCTCTTTTTGTAAATAAAAGTGGCCCATCGCAGCCCGACTACCTTTTTTCTGCCTATGACACATTTGGTGTGTGTATATGTGACATCCATCAAGTCATATAATGGCAGTCACTTCCCTGCTTTGTGTTGCACTAGATGACAATGTTAAGAACAGAAGACAAACTGACAAAACATGTCCCCTGGTGGTGTCAAACATATGTGAAATAGACTCAAAGTCAGCGGACTGACTTAGTTATCAATGACCTTTTCACGGACTTGACAATGGACTTGTCTTTATACTTGTCCTGTTCAATGTTGCTACATTTGTCACCATTTGTTACAGAGGCTGGAACTGTTGTAATCACATGCTATTGCATATTTTTTTAGCCACTAGGTGGCAACAGTTGTTAACTAGGAGTAATTAAAGAAGCTGAAAAGATTACTAAAAATCACATTTGTGCAGGTATCCAGGAAGCAGAGACTTGAAATTATTAACAGAGTCTTAAATAATAAGAATAAAGTGAGCTGACGGTGAGAGTGGGGGTGATTTTGGCAGGAGGTGCCAGAGGAGAGGGTTTGGGTTTAGTGAGCTGCTGGTGGGTTTGAGACTTGGAAGGGCAGGTAGGCTGGCAGACAGAATCAAAGTCAATGTGACGACAAACTGCTGGGCAGAGTGTTGATACAGCAGGAAGTGGAGATCAGTACAGAACACATATACTGGCAGACTGGACTCAGGGGTGGGGCCAGGAAACAGACAGACTGGCAGAAACTGTTGCACAGCTCGCATTCTGACAAAAAGTTATTAATGGGGCTCCACAAGGTTCTGTACTAGGATAGATACTCTTCAGTTTGTATATGCTTCCGTTAGGTAGCAAAGTACCATATTCATATTCATTGTTACACTCAAAAGCCTCCAGTTGATGCTACATACTGCAGCATGGGTGCTGACAGGAACTAGAGGAAGAGATCGTATTACTCCTGTCTTACCTTCTCTGCATTCTAAAATTCAGAATAGAATTTAAAATCCTGCTCCTCGCATACAAATAATCAAGGCCCATCACGTATTGAAGAGCTCATAGCATCCTTATAGATCACTCTTCCTCCTGAGTACAGGTTCACTCGTGGTTCCTAGAATCTGTACGAGTAGAATGGGAGGTAGAGCCTTCAGCTACCAGGCTCATCTCCTGTGGAACCAGCAAACACCATGGCTGTGTCTGAAATGACTCACTAATCACTATGTAGAGAGTTTACCCATGTACAATTGATTGTCACTAATCAAGCAATATATATCATCATGCATTGCGTTGCCGCGGCGCAACCAACAAGTCAAACAAGTTCATATCTATATTTAAAGATCAACATTACTTTTCAGCCAAAAGTCTTAATAATGTAAAATAAACTTTTCAAATTAATTGTGGGATTTTTCACCGGCCATCGTATTTGTCGTTGTTGCTGTACGTCATAACACTACGACAATGACAAGAAGATTATTTTTGCTTGGCAGAGAAAATGCTATGTTTTTAGTTTTGCTAATGAGTTCACTTTATAGTCTTTTACAGATGAGCTCCTGTTACTAACTCCTTTAACTAACTTGAATTCCCCTGAGCTCTGCATGCAAACGGAAGCTGTGAAGTCTGCAAACAGAATTTAACTTCAGTGATGAGGCTACAAGTCAGAGTCAAATGGAGG